AAGAGCATTAGAGGATGAAGACTACCTTTACCTCGAAAGAAGGATAATAATTATAATCAAGTGGAATACAAATGTGATTCTAGAACTAGAAGAATAAAAGATAGCAGTATAAATTATTAGAATCCTACGGTACTAATACATCTGGCATATAGTTTTCTTTAAAACATAACCACAGGTTGAGGTATAAAAGAAAACCATAGATACAATGTTTTCATGACATAGACTCTATACTATATGGTTATCAGATGACTTGCTGCTTTGAAACAGTCTCCACATGAAACTGCCAAATGTGAAGGAGTTTGTTTGTCAAATGGACTTGCTATAATATAAAATATATATCATGAGTTGTATCTAAAATTCTCACTCAAAAGTATAATGAGATGAATAGACAGACAGAAAGAGAAAAACGTAGAGGGACCATCCGTGTGAACATTACAAGCTGCAAGTGCAAGAAATATCAGAAGGGTCGATCAAATTTTTCACCCAGCATCAATTTATATATGGTATTTCATTATAATATATACAGTCAAACCCCACTGTACTGTCCCTCGTTATACCCTCAAACCCGCTTACCGCCAGGTTCTGAGAGAGAGAGAGAGAGAGGAGAGAGAGAGAGAGAGAGAGAGAGAGAGAGAGAGTCACCTAATGTTTTTAGTGGCTCAGGTCAGGGCGTACGACACGGGGGTGGCGGCTGATAAGCAACGCTAACTTTACGAAGCCATTGCAGCAATCAAGGGAAATCGCCTAAAACAAGGAGCTTCTTGGATGGCCGAGGCTGAAGACACCACCAAGGAAGTCAGCCCACTGGAAGATATACAGCGGGGTGAAGAAAGGATAAAGATGAATGAGAGAGAGCAGTGAGATTTTGGGAAGGTAGAGATATACGACAACTGACTGAAGACAACTCACGGCATGAAGAAGAGGTTGTACCTGTATGCACGGACGGATCTGTTAAACGAGGGGAAAAATCTGGATGGGGCTTCTCAGCAAAGTGAACAGCAGAGAGCAACGATATGACAACATCTAGCATGAGAATGGAGATTGAGGCAATCACTTACTACTCAGGCTCTCAAATGGGTTACAACAACTCGACAAGCACATGTGATCTTTGTCACAGACTCTCAGAGCACTCTGAGGAAGATTGAAAGTGGGAACCATAGAGCTGTAGGGACAGAGCTCCTGAAGAAGACGACACTGAAAAAGATCACCTGGATCTTCACCCCGAGCCATGCAGGAGTCAAGGGCAATGAGCGGGCTGATGAGCTCGCTGGGAAAGCATAACCTGAAGGAAAGCTGTGCCCTGACAAACTTGAAATTGTGCATTCAGTCAGGGAAAAAGGGGAAAAAGAACAAGGAAAATCGGAATACCATAATCTTGAGTGACTTTATGAGCTTGGAATTGGATGGGGCGCCAGCAGAAGATCAAGACTTAGTGAGAGGAGCAGAAGGCTATGGAATCAAACATTGCTTGGAACCGTCAGCATCTACACACTTCGAGATGTGCTTCTTCAGGGGACAGAGCACTTATGCGCAGTGATGTTGGCCCTTCACACAAGTAACAAGTAATAAGTTTTAGTAAGTTTGGTAGATGGTAAAAGAAATCTCTTTTTATCAGCTGGCGACCTAAAACTGCAAGTTGAAATGCAGTTTGAACAGTCTATTTGATAAATATGATGGCGCATAATCATTCAAATATTTGTAGAAAAGAATGTTCAACTTAATTCTTTTCTAAACAGGAAGCCAGTGCAGTGTCCATGAAAGAGGTTACCGTAGCAGAGTCTCGCTTTCTTTTCTGTAAAACTAAACGCGCATCATAATTTTGAACTGTTTGAGTGGGTGGTTGGCAGGTGCTCGAGTGAGGTTTACTCCTTCAATTCAACCCTTTCAAACATTTAGCTTCCTTAGCTCTCTTCCTACATTTAATTTGCATGTTACTATCTCTAAAAACACCTCTAATCTCCGGCATTTACTCTTACATAACCTATTGGGTTGCAAGTGCCCTAAAATTCTTACTAAAACTAAAAACAGAACAATTTGAAGTCTTTTGACTTTCTTCAGTGATATGATATTGTACAAACAGGAGGAGAAGCAGAGATGTGAAGTAAATGGAAGGCAAAAAATAAGAAAAGCTGGAAAGAATTGGGCTCTACCCTTGCTATATTCTTCAGCTTCCCAAAACAAAAACACACCGTTCATGTACTTGGACAACTAACACTGAAATTCTCAAATGGAAAGCCAGACAACAGACTGAAATAAACACAAAACACCATTTTATTCTTTTTATTGATTTAAATACGTTGTAATTAAATACAATAGATTAGTACAGTTTTCTGTGGGACAAGATACCAAGCATGATAAAAACTCATACCACTCCCAGGATCAGTGAAAATCATAAGTGTTAAATAATTTAACACTGAATAATTTAACTTGGACGGACTTTTGATACACCTGGTACTGATTCGTAATTGGATAAGAACAAAATGCCAGAATTAAAATAAAAGAAGTCAAAATGAAGGACCCACAACCCCCCCCCCCCAATACATTAAAAAATGTACTTCCCCTCTCCCCTTCTAACTGCCAATTCCATAGTTTTAATCCCCCCCCCCCCCTCTCCATTTAGGTTTGTCCAATGAAAGACAAAAAAAAGAGCATTAGAGGATGAAGACTACCTTTACCTCGAAAGAAGGATAATAATTATAATCAAGTGGAATACAAATGTGATTCTAGAACTAGAAGAATAAAAGATAGCAGTATAAATTATTAGAATCCTACGGTACTAATACATCTGGCATATAGTTTTCTTTAAAACATAACCACAGGTTGAGGTATAAAAGAAAACCATAGATACAATGTTTTCATGACATAGACTCTATACTATATGGTTATCAGATGACTTGCTGCTTTGAAACAGTCTCCACATGAAACTGCCAAATGTGAAGGAGTTTGTTTGTCAAATGGACTTGCTATAATATAAAATATATATCATGAGTTGTATCTAAAATTCTCACTCAAAAGTATAATGAGATGAATAGACAGACAGAAAGAGAAAAACGTAGAGGGACCATCCGTGTGAACATTACAAGCTGCAAGTGCAAGAAATATCAGAAGGGTCGATCAAATTTTTCACCCAGCATCAATTTATATATGGTATTTCATTATAATATATACAGTCAAACCCCACTGTACTGTCCCTCGTTATACCGTCAGCCCCGCTTACCGCCAGGTTCTGAGAGAGAGAGAGAGAGAGGAGAGAGAGAGAGAGAGGAGAGAGAGAGAGAGAGAGAGAGAGAGAGAGAGAGAGAGAGAGAGAGAGAGTCTCCGCTCTGAATACATGTGCATGTACATGTATATCACCAACAAAAAAGACCTTTTTCGAACACAAATTGCACAGCAGAATTATGTTCCATGACATTGGGCAGTCAGGGCTATACAACAGGGGAATCCCGTTGAACTGTCAGCCCTGATAGTCTGCCAACTTCATGCTCGTCCCAAAGGTGGCAGTGTAACAAGGTTTGACTGTTTATAGGGTTGATAGGGGTGGTGACATACAATATATAGTTTCAAAATCTGATCTCTCAATGTGAGGAGAGTGGGAAAGGGACATGCATGTTCTGAGAGGAGCTAGAATAGGGGACAAAAGCGAGAAAAATATTTCAAAATTAATTAATTAAATGATCAAACAATAACGCATAGACATTATCGTCGTAATTCATATTCTCTTATTGTTACATCTTAGTGTTGAAATACGTGTGTGTGCCTGGTGAAAGGTACCAAACGACGCATTTTGAAGAATCTTTCTCGAAGTCAATGATTCTCTGATGCCAATAAGATCACTTGCACCTAAAAAAGGGACACGGGAACAACCCCCCCCCCCTCCTCCCTCCAACAACAAAAAAACAAAACAACAAAACCTGCATTGTTTCGGATAACATTCGGCAAATACTACAAAATATTTTTGACACGTAAGAAGACATGATGGACTGCCTCCACCAAAGGAAGATGACACCCTGCTTCAGACAAGGTGCATGGAATTTGTCCTGTACATTTTTCCAAGAATCGTTTTCACAGTACACTGACCACAAATGCTTTGAACAGGGTAATCAAAGAAGGATGAGAAGTACATAAATTGACAGACTGATCTTTACAATGTTCACACAGGTTCATAATTATGGTAGTATGTAAAATTTCAGCCATAACAATCAAATAACAAATAATAACTCCTCCCACTCCCACCATAAACATCCCTCCTCCTAATGGTTCCCCAGGCCATTTATTTGCTCAGAGACACTGGATAGAAAAGTAGCCAAACACTTGACTGTAGAATCAACTCAAAACTATGAATACAGCAAAAAAAAAAACCCAACAAAAAACAACAAAGAATCAACCCCCCCCCCCAACAACCCCACGTGCAGGGGCGAAACAAAGTACAAGCAAGCCTAAATTAAAAAAAAAAAAAAAAAAAACCCAACAAAAAACAACAAAGAATCACCCCCCCCCCCCAAAAAAAAACAAACAAAAAAAACAATTCTTTTAGCCATATCTACACCCCTCCCCTTGCAATTCCCATTCGTTAAAAAGTCCTCACCTCACTTACTATTGCTCACTTTTGTTAAGACAAGACATAACTGACAAAACAGCAGCGACAGACTTTTCTAACGGAACAGTTGTTGCGTCTCGCACATCATCTGGTTGATACGACCGACCCTGTCCAAGGTCGATGTGTCTAGCGTTGCGTGAGACGGAGTGCTTGTCCGTCTGTCCTCTGAGCTATCCTCATATGTTGCGCATGGAATGCTGATCACAGAATCATCTTGAAGTAAAGGATATTCGTATTGCGGGCGAACAAATGGGCGGATGGGGGAAGCGAGATCACCAAATGCGTTTGTCAGAGATGAGATAGGAGGGTTATCTCTGGTTGCAGCTGTAGTAGGAAGGGTTGAGATGAGATCCCGGGCTGCCTCTCTTTCTAGCGTGCAAGCTCTTTGACTGTTATCAATGGAAGCGACAGTCTGCACGGGCATTGACTCAAGTTCAAATCTGCCGAATGACGGAATCTGATCCTCTGCTATATCTACTGTGCTGTTGTCTCCAGTTGTTAATGTTGTTTCAGATCCTGTGGAAATCATTTGTGCAGACTAATTGTAGCTTGCCAAGTTTGATATTCAAAAGAAGTCTGAATGGCCAGAAAAAAAAAAGATGAAACAGAAGAAGCTGAAGGTGGAGGAGGAGAAGATTAAAAAAGAAAAAGGAGGAGGAAGAGAGGAGGAGGAAGAGAGGAGGAGGAAGAGGAGAAGAGGAAGAAGACGAAGAAGTATAAAAGGGTTTGTGTAAAAGTTTTAGTGGTTTCTGTCACATCTTGCTTCATACTTCAGAAACACCACTGGTTAAGTGTGAAAAAAAACCCAACCATCCCAAATCAAAAATAACTTTGAAGTACGGGTATTGTTGCGGCAATTCTTTTGAGGGATAAACCTTATAAAATAAACAGATTTCTTACACCACAGAAACCAAATATTTTGGAAATGAAATAATATTTCATAATATTCCAAAAGTGAAGGATTGAAGAAAAAAAACAAGAACCTGCCCAATTTTAATATGTATCCTCAAAAAACTCCTGTGTGTTTGTTGAGTGATTTTTTTCGGTAAGTGTTTTACGGCGCTCGTACTGCATAAGGTCATACTCTGACCGAGTGGTGGCCGAAACCTACTCTTATCAATTTTGGACCATGAAGGGATCTTTAAGGAGCGCAACTTGTTAAGTATGCAACCACATATGCCACAGAGGTCTATACCAAAAAATGTATAAATAATATACATGTGCATAGGTCCAGGAATCATTTTTTATTGTGACTGTAATGAAACAACTCACATATTATATATGGATAGATTAAAGATACAGAAGTTTGCAAAATACCATTCTTTTTTATAACCTACCAGTTAATGAGAAGTCTTAATGACACTTCAGGAATGATATATAGGGGCACCTTGGCAGAGCAGTTCAGGTATGGGCTGACCTCAGAGTCAAAATATTACAAGAAGTGTTAGGAAAAGAAAATTTCAAGATGCCGTTTCAGACTTGAAAAGGTATGGGAAAAAATAGAAATATGAATTCTTACCATTATTTCCCACCAGTGTTTTAATGAAGCCCATCTTGTTGTCAGTCCTGGTATCCCTGTCCACTTCTTCTCTGACCACCACAACGTCAACCTTTTCTCCGCCAGCGCCATCGGCATCAGCATTGATGTCACCATCTTCAATGTTGATAACCTCCCCATGACTTTCTACAACTTTCGCTCCGAGCTCTTCTTTACCCGCTGAAGAAAGAAAAGCCTCCTCATCCTCTGCCCGGACTTGAACTATCCGAGGAGACTGTCTGCTATGATGACCTGCATTTCTGGTCTTTGAGCTGCCTGAGGTGACTGCCCGACTAGCAGCCAGAGTTCTGTGGTAGGCTGTCTCATCGTCTAACTGAAAACAGCATTAAAAAAATATGCTACACATGTTCCTTCACATAAAATTTACAGTTTAGGTTACCTTATAAGGGAGTATTATCAATATTTTTGTCATTTTGTTTACTTAACTTTTCTCTTATTCTCAAACTCATAGCTGTCAGAACAAAATCTTCAGTGGTACTGTTGGTGTTCACCATGACCTTTACAACTAAAGAGAACATGAAATATACAAGAAGCTAATGCCCTGACTAATCAGAGTTCTGAGTTGAATAATAATGGAGACTGAGAGACCTAGATACAGGTGTTGAGTCCCAGGTGAGAACGAAAAAACCTAAAACTAGAACTGAAAAAATTAAAAATGAGAACAGGCTTTGAAACATGGACTGCCATTTAAATGAAAACTGAAATCCTGAACCTATTATGCTAATTTTATAATATTTTTTAATCTACGTATCATCTTTATACAACATAAAAAAGGGAAATTTTGCAAATAGTTGCGTCCCCTTTCTTTTGGTCAGGGGACTTGTTTTCAGAACAGGGCCTAAAGTAAGGTTGATTTTATACTTCTTACAAATTTATAGTCTTGAATAAAATTTATACCAGGCAGGCTCTCACAAGAGAATTTGAATTCTTTGAGGACATAGCGGACACATATTATGTCCAATCACCATCAAACCAAAAGGTAATGTTTCTGTACATTTTGAACAATCATACGCAAGAAGGAAACACAAGTTGCATATATTTCAAAGTGTGCATGTTGTTGCATGCATTTTAAAATTTCAGATAAAAAAATAGAAAAATCTACTTTAATAACGAAATTATGTCCCAAAACAGCGTATCTTCAAGTGTTGTTGAATAACCAGAATGTACATCCTCAATGAGTTTGTCTGTGCTAAAGGACTGCTTCAAATTACTATCACCATAAATTATTATCACTAGTGTAGCAGAAAAAGGATGAAACATGCCAGACAGCCTACCTTTGTTTCCACCATGGTCAACCGATTTTCAATGAGGACAACACGAGAAGTGAGGGTGTCCAGTTTAAAGATGACATCATTCATTTGTTTGGTCAGTCCAGTGGTCAGGGCTTTGAATTGAGCAGGCTCTGGAGGAGGCTTTGGTACTTCCTGTTGGTCCATCCTCTGCAGGGTAAATAAATAACAGTCAAAATTGTCAAATGAATAACAAATAACAACCAATTGCATTTATTTATATTGCCCATTTTCATCGCGACGAGATGCTCAGTGCGCATTACAATAACATAGCTGAGGTAGACACTCACAATGACAATTAAAAAGAATTAAAGAAAAATCAGTACTAAAAAGATTACACACAGGTCGACATACTGGAACAGGTAAATGGACACAAAAATGTGAATGAGTATATATATAAAGAAACAGCTGGACATTGATTTTGGTTGACAACTCATAATGTAAAAAAGGATGAGTCCACTCATCGGATAGAAGCATAAAAAATGGCCATCCATTGTCAAAGAGAAAAGTGGTTGTCTTAGACTGGTGGGTATCTGGGACGGTGTTGCGACAATTCAGAAAAAAAAGCAAGGATGGGGGGTGGGAAGTTGTTATTTGTACAGGTGATTGTCTAGGACAGGAGGCTGTTAGAGCAGGTTCGACTGTATATCATTTCGCGGATACTAGGTGCCTAGTTTCCGACTCGTTTTTGTTTTGTTTTTTGAACATGTAAAATATTCTAGGTACCTATTTATTCCTTTAAAAAAAAGAATAATGCCCAGCCCGAACTGGAAAAGCACAAGATTTCAACCACCTGTTCTGGGCTTCCTTCAGGCCCAGCCTGTGTCAGGATACAATTTCCCGACCAGGCAGGAAACATTTTCCCGGTACCGCTGATCTCGGCGGGAAAAGCTTCGAAAGCTGGAGGATTTTAATTAAAAAGCCGGATTTCCTACTTTAGCTGAAAACTGGCAAATCTGGGATATGCACTGTGTCTGTTTATAGTATTACTATGATGTGTTAGTAGAAAGGGAGTATGCATAATGAGATAATGAGTGGGGGGGGAGATTGTTGACACGAGGCCAGGTATATAGTTTTAGAGAGAGTTTCATGGCACCCCCAAGCAGCTACATTCATATCAAGCATAACTGCATAAGTTATTCAATTCTGTGGGGTCCTTTCAAGTCCCCCAAAAAGGCCATATAACAATTAAAACTATCTGAAAATGGCTTTACAGAACTTCAAAAGCCCAAAGACTCAGTTTCAAATTACTTTGAAAATGTCAAATTCTTAACAAATCTTGAATCCCTAGGCTTAAGAGTAAAAACATAAAAAAATAATGCACTAATGTAAAAAAAAAAAAAAAAAAAGCCAACAACCCTTTTTTGAAAAAGATTAATGCTGGTGTTTGAAGAGAGCTGTCAGTAGGTTAAACTTCTTCCCTGCCATTGTATTCATTTTGCCGCTTTTTTTTACTTCAGCACTAGACCACTAACTATTTTTGTTTAGTTATTTTTTTATCGAGTTGTTTTTATGCCCCCATCGATATCGACACAATTTTGATGATTCAGGAGGCAGGCTTCTGACCCTGCCTGTCAGAGCCAACCCAGGCTGAGAGGGATACAACATCTTTGCAGAAAAACAGGGCTACTTGATAAAATAACTCTCCCCACTTGGAAAACAAACTAGGGTCTCTTAAGAGTGACAGCGAAGCACCTGATCGCTGCTGAAGGTACTCCTAAAAAATTCAGACAAGGCACAACAAGCATAAGGTTCCTACCTTTAGTGCAATTTCCAGCTTGCCTAGTCTCTCATTGAGGTTGACCAAACTAGGGGAAACCATACCAACAACCTTCCTCCGGATTTCTGCCTCCATTTCTGACTGGCCAATAGTGCCGGCTGGTAACGATGCAAGAATTCTTCCCGACGATGATTCTGTAACTGTTGCCGTATCAAGGTCAGAATCAGAATCTATATGGGAGGAACAGGGGGGCGGGGGGGAGGGGACCAATATCAGTTAGAGTTTGAGTAAAGAGAAACACATCAACACAATAATCAACAACAGTTATCCAGTGCAAGGACGAGGGGAACAAATGATTGATAAAATACGAGGGACGTCCAGAAAGTAAGTAGGCCTATGGTTTTAAAATAATTGTAAAAGAAATAATTTTCCCGATTAAAACCATTTATTTTTTAATACCTCATAAATATATATATGACTACTTCCCCACGTAGTCACCAGAATTGTTGAGGCATTTGTTGTAGTGTGGGACGAGCTTCTGAAAGCCCTCATTGTGGAAAGCTGCCGCCTGCGATGTCAGCCAATGTCGAGTCTCTCCCGTGAGATCAGCGTCTGAGTCGAAGTCCTACCCGGCCAAAAACTTTTTCAAACGTAGGAATAGATGAAAGTCACACGGAGCCAAGTCTAGGCTGTACGATGGTTTTGGGTCTGTGCAGACTTGTGAGGAGTTGCATTGTCGTGAAGCAGAACAACGCCGTCGCTGAGCATTCTGTCATTTGTTTTGAATCACTCTACGCAGGCCGTGTCAGGAAAAAAAAGCCATGTGTACAGTATTTTTGGACATTTCTTTAGATAGAATTTTTGGGAAATGGGATGACAATTAACTCTGATGTGTACTGCAACACACTTAAAAAACTGCATACAGCGATTCAAAACAAAAGACGAGGAATGCTTAGCGACGGCGTTGTTCTGCTTCACGACAATGCAACTCCTCCCAAGTTCGCACAGACCCAAAACCTGATCGCCTCCTTCGGATGAGAACAGTTGAAGCTCCCATCGTACAGCCCAGACCTGGCTCCAAGTGACTTTCATCTGTTCCTGCATTTGAAAAAGTTTTTCGCCGGGCAATACTTTGACTCAGACGCTGACCTCACAGGAGAGACTCGACACTGGCTGACATCGCAGGCGGCAGCTTTCTACGATGAGGGCTCTCAGAAGCTCGTCCCACGCTACGACAAAAGCCTCAACAGTTCTGGTGACTACGTTGAGAAGTAGTCATATATATGAGGTATTAAAAAATAAATGGTTTTGATCGGGAAAATTATTTCTTTTATAATTATTTTAAAACGGTACTTTCTGTACATCCCTCGTAATAATATAAAGAAAAGGGAGGATTCACCAGCGTTCGGTGTGTGTGTGTGTGTGTGTGCGTGTTTGTGTGTAAGTGTGTGTGTGCATGACTTGTTTTGCATGGGACATGGTAGAGAAGTACAGACCTAGATCAATTTTAGCTAATAAATCAGTATGCTTTTGTCAAATCGAATATCATATGTCAAATTTTCTTCTTTAAAAAAAAAAAAATTTTTTAAAGGATGGTAATCCATCCATTAGAGATAATTGAGGTACAGATTTCTCTGTGCCTCATAAGCTTCTGCAGTACCGTCCCACTTACCAATATGGCACAAGGCTGAGGAAAAGTCAGGAACAGATACTTTTCCTATTATTATTTGTTCAATTTTAACTGCTGTTTGTGAAGCTCATAATAATCAATAATAATAAACGTACAAAAGGAGAAAAAGAAATATTAATAATGGTACAAACAAAAATATTAATATTACTGGGATGATTTGAAGAGTAGTGCACAAGGATAAATGAGAAGAAAAGAAAGATAAAACACCAACTAATAAAAATGATGAAAATTACAAAATCTTTGATTCTACTAAAAGCCCCCCATAAGATGAAAAAAATAAGTACTCTACTACTGAACCTGAGAACTTGGAGGTTTTGGACTCGAGCGTGCACTTGAGTATTAAAAAAAAAACTACTTGGGGGAGTAGTCGCAAGAATAAGTACTTGCAGGGATTTAATACTTGAGTGGACTCGAGTACTCATACACCCGTGCTAATCAGGGCTGAGTAGTATACAGTCTGATCAGACATATGGAACTACTTGATATTCCCCACCAAGGAATAAACCTTATCTCTTTTGTATGCTGCCATTCAAGAGTGAAGCAAGCTTGCATATACTTCTTTATGATATATTAAGTCAAAAGGAAGCTGTTGCGTTGTCAATCCAGTAGCCTTTGAACGTATGCCCTTTGGCGCAATGCCATGTAGAAAAAGGTGGAGGTCTTTGAATATGTTCTTTGTCGCAGTATAGGCTATTGTCTCAGGTAGAGCCGAGAGGAACAAGTAGCCATCAAGATCCTGTAGTTTGGGACATTCGAAGAGCAGATGTTGGTTTGATTTGTAGATGTGGTATGCAAAAGGAAGGAAGCCCACATATTGCAAGATCGGCAACAATGAAAGCAATAAAAAGTCAGACAAGTGAAGCAAAATTTACCAGATGGCACTGGCTCTGCCTGGTCCCTTGTGGGAGCCAACTGGGCCATTCTCAGCTGAGGAAAAGCACTCTTGGGTATGCAGAAGCCATTGGCTGCAGATGCTGTGGCCTGCGATGGTAACACAATAGCTCCTGACACATCAGGAATGGATCTAGCTGCAACCTTACGAGGGCGTTCTTTAGCTGAAGATGGCACTAAAAGAAAGAAAACAAAGCAGACTTATTGACCTACATCAAGATATTGTTCTGCAATAACATACTAAACAATCAAAACATACATAATAATAAATTCCAGTGACAGCACACCTCTACGCTGGTTGCCACAGTGCACTGTCATGTCTAAGATCAAGTAAGTTTAAACAGGATCATCTCTCTAATTGCTATCACCATTAATTATCTAAACAGAAATCATCAGCATGTAGGAGAATACCGGCTCCTTCGAGTTCAAACCAAGGTAAAAGACATGACTAAAAGTTTAATCCCCTCAACAACATTCTTTAAGGGGGGGGCCTGCAGCAAGAAATGCAGGTATGGGGCCAACTTACACAAATTGAGATAATTACACTTTAAAATTCCTGGGCATGTCCTGAATACTATCTAGAAGAAAGGTACACGAGCCTCCCCGCATCCTAAACTGCTGTTTGGGGGGATTTTAGAGCGTAGGGTTGAGTCTGTTTCAGAAAATATTTGCCAATTTAAAAAAATTTTTTTTTTTTAAAAGACGCTAAATTTTCACAGTTGGTAGTGTTCTTCTGCTCTATTTCTGACTCGATTTCAATGAAACTTTAACAGAATGTTTAAACCATACAAATCTAGCTTTTTGCAAGAGGAATTGTTGATAAATGTATTGGTTCTTAATCTGTGAGCTTGAAAAGCTAAGTTTTCCAGTAATTCCACTATTTCGCTATAGGCGGAAATAAAAGTGTCATAAAATAAAAGCTAAAGCAGATATTAAAAAGTTAAGTATGAACCTAATCTGTTTGTAAATAAGGTGAGAAAATGGTACCACATTATGTTTCTAAAATCCAATATGGACGCCGTTCCCATGACAACGGAATCAGTAATTTGTTTTTACAATTGGCAACAAATTTCCATTGCCATATAATCGTCCACACCAAATAAAAGCTCCTTAGGAGTGGCATTAGCCGAGATAGGCTTATTCTGTAGCACCCCTCCTTAAATCATATTGCAGGTGGGCTTCTTCGACCTTGCCTGCCTCGGCTAACCCAGACCGAGAGGGATACAGAATCCAAGTAGACAGAGATACCCGATAACATATCTTCCTTCGCATGGAAATTGAACTCAATTCTGCCTGAAAAGGAGAAGAAGTCAACCGTTACGCCACAGAAGCTGACAGTTGGTTGATTAAACATAGCATTATTATTATCAAACATGACATTAAGAAAAAGAGAGAATTTTGTCATTATCGATTGGAGTTTCTGATGAGTTGGTACAACAATGGTTACCCAAGGACATTACATTAGTTACATGAAAAAAAAAGCAGGAGAAACAATATTTTCGGGCACTGTAGCTTTTCCAAGTTCCGTTTTTTTTAAAGGCAGCTCGTACTTGTTTGAAAATTGGTGGTCCCTTGATTTAGAACTTTCTTTATAAAATTTTTCTCCTCAAATACTACTAAGGAAGAAGAAGTAAAGAAATGAATTCCGACTAATAACCACAGCCATAATTTCTATCTCTCTGTTGAGCACAAGGAAGGACACTTAAGGGTAACTCACCGCGAGGCTCTTGTCGCACCTGAAATAAGAAAAGCAATTTTAATAAATAAAAGTTATTACATTAAAATTTTTAAAATTAAAATACAGTTGAACCTGCCATGACGCCACCTTTATAAGACGGTCACCTGTACAAACGGCCTACAGCGCACGAAATCAGCCAAAATCGCGCCTTTTAGTTGCACCCCAGCTCCCGCTGTCCGGAGGTGATTAATCACCCTCGTGGTACCTGTTGACCTTTTTTATTGGGGTCATTTGACCTCATCGCACCGTTATAAACTGGGATGCATTCTTGATAAAATCGTCTCATTTACTATCTCAATTGCAAATGTTAGACCCACCAAGTAGTTTTTATTTATACAGTGGAATCCACTTATAACGAGTCCTGAAAAAACGAAAAGTCTGTTATAAAGACACTCTTCTAAAACCCCCTTTTTTTCTCTTCTTTACCTTTGTAAATAAAATATATATTGTGCTATCAGTCAAACATGCAAGTCGGTTATAGTGGAATATTGTTGCTGCTGTGCAGAGTGCATAGGCCAATTAGATCTATCCATTATGTAAAACCTCGCCAGTTGAGAAACGTGTTGGTGATCTAGCGAAACAAAGAATGGGTGAGCCCATGTGTGCCAACAATGAAGGCCGGAGCCACTGAGTTAGAGTAGGGAAGGTGTGGCATGCGTAGACAAGCAGAACGCATCGCTTGATAGGCCAGCATAAGCCTAGTTTAGATTATTAAGGCCTACCATGCCTCTCATTTCTCCGATGTGGGGATGGAGAAGTCACAGTGCTGTGATGAATGGAGCGAAAGTGTGACGTGCGCAAGAAGATGGAATGCACCATAGGGTGTGGTGGAGTGGGGGAAAACACAGCGGGCGAGTTAGCCTAGAGCCCTTTCTTTCTAATCGCCAACGCCGAGCTGTCAGTCAACACCACTAGCGCTAAAGAAAGAAACCTGACTCGATTTTTGATTAAGTAAGACCCAGAGGTCATGTTGAACAAAATCATCATCAGGGAAGATAGCAAAAAGAACCAAACAGAACACCAAGCTTATAGATATTAGGCCTACTTTATTATTTCCCTTGAATTTATTACTGGATCCCTTATAGCGAAAATCCTGCTATAACGGACATTATGCACCGGTTCCCTCCCTCTCGTTATAACACGATTCCACTGTAGACTTTAGCAACACCATTTCTCCTCCTCTTAAAGAAAGTCCCAGTCTTCCGTGTGTTATTCTAGGAGTTCTACACAAAGATCAATAATTTTGAGGTCACAGAAACTGCGGTAGCAGTGAAATTTGGTATGTACATACCCTTAAGTTTTACGTTTATTTCCCTTAAAGAAGAACTAATCCTGACGCTCAGTTTTCTAATTATCGGCGCTTGTTATGTCATAATTAGAAACGATAACAGGAATCAGACATGACCATCTTGCACTGTCTGTTACAACTAAACAGAGAAATACTGATTCACTTTGTTTTTGGAATATCATAAAAAAGGCTGGGAACTACTGATTCCCGAGTGCAGTGGTGTCTTTCAGTCAATATCATTGCGTTAATTAGCGCTCAATTCAGAAAGAAAAATATGATTTTCTAAACCTCCCGCGCGGTCACGCTGACCAAAGAATGCCCACGCGATGACCCCGTTCACCGTCACAGGTCAGCGCGCCACTGGCTACCTGAGTTCTCAACTAAAGGATCCTGTTTCTGTGCGTTGCGGGCCACTTTCCATTTCCCCCCTTGCGTTTTTTCTACATAATTTAACGGTGTAAAACGGGCACCTGTCCAACGTGGCCACCCTGTTTTAACACACAACCCCTAACCTATCACACCAAACAATAACCCCTGTCTTAGACGGCCACCTTAGTGACTCCATTACGTTTTGTCATAAATCATGCATTTGCCTCTGGCGTTGTGGGCGAGCCGCCATAATCCAATCAACTGTCGTTGTTGTTGTGTAGTCCCTCCAACCGATCAAGTTGCGTTGGCCCCTCCCACTGTTGACCAATAGGTAACAAGTCTTCAGCTGCTGGTGAGGTAAGCATGGGATCCCTCATAACCCATAAGCCCCCCCCAGAACTCATACACAAAAGTGAGATGAGTGGTCACTGTTTACCCAGTGTGTAACAAATTAACAATGGAAGTCAACGTGAACTTGTGACAGAAGCGTTGCTCTTTCTCCGAATGGTGGCGATCCATGTGTTTGTTTTACCATAGCACTCTGTCCTCCTTGTCTGACACATTTCGTTTTATTGTCACCCTGGCATAAAAGCAGCAACAGAATGTTTAAAAAGAAGAAAAAAACCCCCAGCCAAAACAACAACTATAACAACAATAACAATGTGGCGACCTCAGAAAGGAAGGGTTTGTTTTCTTCATCTTGATCAGTCCTGCCTAAGACGGCCACCTGTCTAATACGGCCCCTTTTCTCCTTGACTCGAACCTGTGTAGGACAGAACGGCAAGGGAGCCCGAAAAAAAATTCCGTCTTCACATTTTCCGTCTTAGACAGGGGAATTTAGGGGGGAGATGGAGGGGGGTTTCAAAGGCCCAGCCGGTGGGATCAAGGGTCGCTTGTCCGGTCAGAAAGCAGTGGTCAAAACTTCACTGTCACGCCTCAACTGCTATCCTCTTTGATAATGACATGCGTCAGTCTTACTTATCCAATTACCACCAGTACTTGCATTTCATATGACCACTATTTGGCTTATTAAAAACAGATATGTTTGAACATCTCTTTTGCTTCCACTCTTAGCCCCACCCATCGGTGTAACAAGCACAGTCAACCAATGCCACCCCTCACTGCCATGTAACAACGATTCGAGGAACCGTTTTCTTGGCTGACTGTACGATCAGGGCGGCAGGCATAGGCCAAACTAATATTTTCACACCTCAGGCTTCTGGCTACCTATGAAAGTTTCTGTGGTGTCTTGCTACTCAAGCACTTTCACTGGCACTCACAAGATTTCACACCCACACCACCCTGACCATCTACATTGCTCAGGGCTCACATAGATGGGGTAACATCTACCTGTTAAGTTTAGAGCCAGCAGAACCAAACTTGGAGGTTTTGTTTCAAATATGGGCTGAGTGGGCAAAGCATTTCCGTCTTAGACAGGTAAAACCCTCCGAAGAGAGCGGATTTTTCTTTCCGTTTCCACGTTGGACAGGTTTCCGTTTTATACAGGTAATTAAAGAGGAATATATCAAGGGGGGAGCGGGGAGATTCCGTTAAGACAGGTTTCTGTTTTACACACGTTTCCGTTAAGGCAGGTTCCACTGTACATATTGCTGAACAAGCTTCATTCGTAAACGTCAGACATTCGGAATCTCACAGCAACCGGGTAATACACAATATAATTTCAATATATTCACATCTACCTGACTTTTTTCACATCACAAATATACCTTCCTGCATAAAATCACCTTAAAATTATGAAATTGTGAGAGTAAATTGTCATTACCTTAATAACACCCCTTTGTTCACTTATGGCTGATAAAGACCAAACAAAGTTGTTACAATTTATGAACTTATCTGTACAGCGCTTACCTTTTCAGGGTGGCTACTAGGCCTGTGATCTTTAGTCGCAGTCACTCTAAACGCAGAGGATGTTTTTGGTGGTTTGTATTTACTCCTGACCAGTCGCAAGATCTCAGTTGCCATGATAACCTTTCTCTCAGCAAACCCAGGTGAGAAAAATTGATCCCTCGTGACCTGCGGCTTGTGCTGGAACATGTCACGCAGAATCTGGCGGAAAAAGAAAGCTTTGTTCAATTGAGGAGGAAAGAGCCATAATCATAAAAAAGTAAAGTAAAAAAAAAGGAAATGCAATACAAACGTTGGACTGGCACATAGCGCTTCGTGAAAAACTTTAAAAAAATTACATGTACTTTACAAGCTTAACATCTACCATCTTCTACTGTTGGAGGCAATGGGCTCAGAGACAAGAATAAAGTAGAAAGCAGGAAGTAAAAGGGTGCCTCGAATTTATATGTGTCCCACCTCATGTTTTTTCACGTTGTATCAGCTTTTCTACATAAATTTACCTGTGAACTAAAAGGACATTATTGTGTCTATTTATTTATGTTTGGGTAAACTGAGAAAGAAAAAAAAAAAATTGAGATAATTTTGCTATAAATAAATATAATACTTGAACATATCAATAGAAAAAAAAGAAAAGAGAGACAAAAGAGGATCACAAAAGACTGGATAGATGGCATAATATAGATTGTAAAACACATAGAGAACTTGCCGGAGTGCAGGGATGTTGCTTCCTGAAACAATGAACAATGTTGAGAAGGAATTTGCGCTGTACAAATGATATCTATTATTATCATCAACAATTAATTGATACAAATCAACTGTGCTTACACCAGAATCAACAAACTTTACACATACTAGTGAAATCATGACTATTCATCGTTAATCACAAGGTATAGACAATTAACACACTTTCACTTCTTGGAAAGAAATGAACATAAAGTGTATAGAATACACAAATGTAATAAATTCATATGCATTAATTATTTGAATTTGTCTTCACTCTAGCGTCTCTGGATAACATAGCAGTAGTTTAAAGATTCTTAATTATCTTTAGAACATGCTTGCAGTACAGAGATAATGTAAGTCTAAAGAATAACAATAAAAATGTAGAAAATACCTTGTACACTGCCTCCATAAACCGCATATCAGACTTGCCATACAACTCATTATTAGAATTGGAAATATCCTTGTTCAGCTTTGTACTGTATGTCGTAAACAGGTAGTGGTAAAATGGCAAATAAGTCTTCGGCAAACCACTCACAAGGCTGAATGAAAGAAAACCAAATGAAACGATGTAAAAAACTTTTAATTTCAGGGATTAGATACAAACTACAAAATTATATCAAGATGATCTTGATGAATGTTTTGGTTTCTAAACGTATCTACAAATTTTAAAGGGTTATAAAATGCTAGAAAATGTTCCCAAAAAAGAAATGACAAGAGAACCATCACAAATATGAAAACTTATAGTGGCATAAAATTCATTTGTAGCTTTTATGCTAAAAATCTATTAGCCTTGTACGTACCATTTTACAGATATTTGAATGGTTTTAAAAATTTAGAGAAGGATACACGTAACTCCAGTACAGAAAAAGCTTTATTTCTACATGTTCTCATGTTACTGAGGCCAGATCAATTTTCGAAGAAATTCATGAAGAAATTTCCTTTCAAATATTGTCCAATAGTTGAAACCCGACCTTATTCATGGATAAAAGTGCCCCATACTTTCTGATTAACAATGAGTAATTAGTGAAACAAAATGCTTATTTAGTAAAAGAACCTGTGACATTAATTTTTTTAAATTTCACTAGCCAGACTGAGAACTGGAAAGAGGACTTTTTTTTTATCAAACTGAGTCTGGCAGACAAAGACTTTTTGTGTTTAATGAAGCAACTGAATGATATTCATAATAAGTAAAAATATACTGCATGATAGGACTACTAGTCAGCATCATCATATTTAAGTTTTGCTAGTGATATTGTTAAAATAATCAGTAAGACCTGAATAAAAATGTGTTCTCTTTGATAGAAATGAATTTTCTAAAGATTTTATCTTACCCATCAATATCCATTGTGCCTGAATATTTGACAGCTTTCAATTCAGCCTGAAGCTGCTTCACATTATTCTTCATGTCTCCTGTAGAGGCCATGCTGCAGCCACTCTGCCAAAAGACGAACAAACTATACTTATAAAGAATACATGTGCACAGTTCACACATCAAAACTGATTTTGTATTATGCCAAAAGTTTCTATTGATAAATTCATACCTTTCACACAAACCCTTCATAGGACCTTGGGACATCACAGCCAGGGTAACTTTAAGTGAAGCTGAGGTCTCAGTCTATTTCTCCAAACGATTTCCGTTCTCGAGTGTTGTTGGTTATTTGCACAAAGTTACATATTTGGCTATTTGCGAAAGTTCGGCGTTATCTTTCACTCTGCCATTCTGCAAAGACTGGGAAGAAGCATTTTTTTTTTTGCATCGAATTCAATTTCTAGAGCTAGAGATTTTTAGTTGTCTGAATATTCAGATACTTCAATTGTAGTGAAGGCAACATTCCCGGACTATACTTCATTTGAACATGCTTTCAAAGGAACTGCAAGAAAACAAGACTGCTCGACTTTGGCAGTAATTTTAATCTATTTTGCATCTAGTCACCCTTAAAGTCTAAACCAAAAACTACATCACAAAAAAATCACTCAACGCCCCCCCCCCTCCCCCGTTCACACCTTACACACACGTACAGACACACTCACACACACGCACACTCACACCACACACACATAAACATACACGGACCACTCCATTCGCAAATACCAAAAAATCTCGAGAACGGAAACTGTTTGGAGAAATAAGAGTTCAAGTTTATTTTCCTGAACGTTCGGAGAAATAGAGCCGGCCCTATTATAATGGGCTCGCAACTTTGAAGAAGTAATCTTCTCGCTAGAAAATAATTTGTAGTGACTTAGTAATGTGGGGAAAAAGTTGTTTCATGGTGTATTAAATGTGAAGAAACAACCTGCTGAGTCAATATCTGCACATTCATCTTCATCTCATCTGATGATCTCAGATCTGTTCACGTCTAAAAGTCAGCTCATGGACAAAACTTGGTACTTTTTTGGTAATTCCCACATTTGAGCCTAGATCTACATCCAGATCTATACGTCTGATGCACGGCAAGCTAAGATATCAAACCTAAAAACTGCAAAACATCAAATTATGGTAAAATTCAGGGGGGCATGCCCCTCTGAAAACCCCCACCATCTTTTTATTAGGTTTGGGGGGGGGGGGGGGGGGCAAGCCCCCCTGAAACCCCCCTACTCTTGGGGCCAAAACCAGCGAATAACAATTGCGGGGTGGGAACTACCGAAAAGCGCCCAAAACTTAGGCTACCTTTGACTTTGAGTCCACAGAGTTGAGTCAAGCATGATGTGGTGGTGGTGGTGGTGGGGTGTAAATCTCTTAACATTAGGCCGTGACTATTTCTCCGAATGTTCGGGAAAATAAAGTAGAACTTTATTTCTCCGAACGGTTTCCGATCTCGAGATTTTTGGGGTTATTTGCGAGATTTAGGCGTCATTCTTTCATTCTGCTATTCTACGAGGACTGAAGCATTTTTTGCATCAAATTCAATTTCTAGATCTAGATCTAGAGATTTTTAAATGTCTGAATATTCAGACTTCAGTTGTGGTTGAGGCACGTTCCCGGACTATACTTCATTTGAAAGTAGCTTTCAAAAGGTACTGCGAGAAAACAAGACTGCTCGACCTTGGCAGTAACCTATTTTGCATTTAGTCACCCAGCAAAAAATAAAATAAAAATCCTTCATATTAAAAAAAAATCCTTCCACGACCCCTCTCCCCGTTCACACCTTACACACACACAGACATACACACGTACAGTATTCACATGCACTCACACAATAATATTATCAACAAATCTCTAGAACAGAAACCGTACAGAGAAATAAAGTTAAAATTAAAGTTTATTTTATTTTCCTGAACGTTCGGAGTAATTAACCTTTTATCATAGTCATCAGGCAATCCGCAGCCGTTGACTGCTAGATCTAGCCTAGGCTACTGTACTGTAAGTGTAAGTGTTCGGAAATCCGACTAATTCGTCAAACCGACCCCGTGTCCTCGTACAACTCAGTCTCTATATATCTATAGTAGTATAGACGATAGAAGTACAACAAAGTCAAGCAATAAATTCCTTAATCAAATTACCTGCAATTTTGGGTTAGGCCTTGAATCTAGATCTAGATCTGTAAAACCGGGATGGTCTTTCTGAGATAGCTAGATTCTAGCCTTCCCCTAGCGAGAGCCAGTCTCGACTCAACATTCAACACCAATATTTTCGTTCGTCGTAGGCCCAGGCTACGCTTGTTCAAACCTATTCCCGGAAGTTGGCTGAATCCATAGACGCGAAGAGAAATGAACCTAGCCTACAGGGTTCACAGGTCATGATAGGTCTCGGTTTTGGGAATAGCGAATCCCCTCGCTATCCTCAGACATTTGGGAATAGCCTCTTCACAAATATTGAGAGACAAGACAGTTGTAATCTGGACAGAACATAAACTAAGTCTGTAAAATTGACAGTATTTTAAATTCATTTTCAGCACTAGATCTAGATAAGAAGAGATGGGTGAACTTAAAAGGTTGCAATCGAGGTCGGTAGCATTCGTTTCGTTAATTTCGTATGATAAACCAGCGCTGGCAAAAGTGGGCGGTGGTTAAGCATAGTCCACTTTGTCAACCACACGATATACGCTGGTGATTTGATTTCAGAATAAAAAAAAGTTTGTTGTGACAAAGCTGTTGTGCAATCAAAGGCTGGTTATTCGTAGAACATTGCCCCATATTAAATCAGACAATTCATGTAATTTGTCGGATATGGTTTTTTTAATATTTCCTTTGTAAAAATGAAAAAATTTGATTAAAATTCAAATGTTTCTAACATAGTTTGTTTCATAATTTAGCGAAGTCGGAAAAGAGTGTACAATTTTTAAGTTTGAATTGTGATAACATAACGCCGGACGCCATTTTCCCACGCTGGTGTGGATTATCGACGTTGAACTTTGTGTTTTTTGGATATTAGGAGCGTTCAATTCATTTGTTTTTGTGTCTGGTATCACTAACACATAAACATGGATGCCGTACGGTCCTTTAACAACGAGGTAAGGGTGTGTTTGATAAATATGCAGGTTAACTCTCAAAAGTGCTTTCTCCTTTCTTCTTCTTTTTCTTTTCTTTTGTTTTCATTAAAATAGCTTTGCTTTGCTTTGTCTTCAGTGTCAGTAGAGACAGTAGAGTCTATCTCAGTGACAAAGAAGAAACAAGGGACATTATAATTATATTATGATGTCGCCTGTTTATAAGATCCTGTCTAGGACTAGAAATCTAGATCTAGATCTCTATGTTACATTCTCATATTCCGTTCACTATTTACTTTTGCCTTACACTTGCACTTTGCAACAAGGAAAAAAGTCCAAGGCCAAGAAGATCCATTTGTTTACATCCAGAGAAGAAATCCGTAGAGAGATGTAGATCTAGATCTAAATCTTGATGACCAAATTAAAGGCAACACAAAGAAAAGGGATGCAATCGAGGCCTAACAGCAAAACATCAAATTATGGTAAAATTCAGGGGGGGCATGCCCCCCCCCCCCTCCACTCCTGAAACCCCCCTACTCTTGACTTTTACGAACGAAACTAGATCTAGATATTAGATCTAGATATCTAGATGGCCACCTCTATTCTCACCCGGAGTGAGAATAGTGCAGGCGAGTCTTGTGGCTATTCTCACCCGGTGCGCGTTCACCAAATTTTGCGTTCACCCTAAACCACAGAATGCTACACTGTGATCACAGAAAAATTGTAGAATTCTGTGCCGTGAACAGACGTTCCATTACAACTGTAGCCTACTAAATGCGTACAATTTTGTCTGTGGGCAGTGGAGAGAGAGAGAGAAAGAGAGAGAGGGGTAGCGCGAGAATTTCCGGGCAAAACAAAATGGCGACCCGCGTAGGTCGGCTTGGTTCGGCTCGATTCGAAAAGTTAAATAGCCGTAGCATCTCTGTAGACAACCAAATTGATTTACTTTTGTGTTTTAACATCATTTTTTAACTTTGTTTTGGTCAATTTGATCGTCCACACCGATAGACAGTATTCAGAAAGAGACAGAGAGAAGAGGGGAGGAGTTAATCTTGCGAGAACTTCCGGGCGGGTGAGAATAGCCACTTTCATAGGAATAATAGGCCCAGAAACTAGATCTAGATCTATTCCCAGTGTCACTGAGAATAGGCCAGAACCTGCGAGTTTGTAGTTTTGTTCGTTTAAGTAAAGTCAGGAGTAGGGGGGTTAACCCCCCTGACTTTAAAAAAAAATATGGAGGTGGGGGGGGGGTTCAGGGGGGCTTTCCCTCTGAATTTTATCCTAATTTGATGTTTTGCAGTTTAGTTACTTCCCTGCTCTTTGTGAAGCCTATTTCAAATAGTATTTGGTCATCAAGACTTCTGGATTTCTTCTCTGGATGTAAACAAATGGATCGTGGACTTAAACGAACTGAACTACAAGATCATCCTAGAACTTTTTAGGTTAACGTGTGACCCCTCACAACCCATAAGCCCCACCCACAACTCGTACACAAATTGTACTTAGTGAGATGAGTGGTCACTGTTTATCCAGTCTGTAACAAAGTAGCAATGGACGTCAACCTAAACTTTGCAACAAAAGCAGAGATGCCAACCAGTACGATTTTACATGATATTTTAGTACGATTTTTGGCCGAAAATACGCGAATATGACTTTTCATGAAAAAATACGCATCCTGGAATGCGAAAAATACGAGATTCAGCTTGGGTGAGTAAACCGAATTACCTCAAGTCCCATCTTTTGTCAAAATAGTCTCAGTATCGCAGAACTGGAATATTTGAAAACCTAGTCCGATGTGGTCAGTAACTTCATTTTTGCCAGTCGCAATCGGGATATATTCGTTCTGCTTTTCGCCTTTCCGGAGCGTACGTTTCACTTTCACGTGAATAGGCAGCTACGGCGGCAGGTGGAAGTGTATGTGACACCGAGGCTCGATCGGGAAATTCAAGATCTACTTTCGCTTTCGCTACCACCGAGAAGTTTGCCAGCAGTTGTCTGATAATGCAACATTTGTGACATTCAGGTTGTGAAGTGTAAACACTGTGTTGCCGTGCAAATATAATATGTAATAAATACTCGGACTCATTGCTTTTGCTGTCACTTGATTTTAAAAAAAGAAAGAAAATACAAGCGTCGTCCGATTTTTAGATTGCCTGGCTCGCCATCGTGACCGGTCACTGAACCTGCGCACATTCACATCTTAAATTTAATGTGGCATCGTGTGAGTAAACACCGTCTTTGGTGGGAGTAACGGCGTTGTGAAGTATCGGACTACGGAATAGGGGAGGAGATTATTGATTTTAAAAAAATTTGTTTTGGGGGGGAGGGGGGGGGTAAGATACTATCGGGGGGCTACACCAGAGGACAAAAACTTGGAAGCACTTTTCAGAATTTTAATTAGAGCTTTCTGCAAAGCAAAGCGCGCGTTGGTGCAGGCCGTGTGCGGAATCGGGACCCCTCATACTCATACTTTAGGTGCTTTTTCGGTAGTTCCCACTCCCCTTATTTGAGCCTGACCTACATCTAGATTCTAGATCTATACGTTTGATTCGCGCTGAGCTTAGATTATATCAAACCTCAGGGGGTAAAATTCAGGGGGGCATTCCCCCCCTGAAACCCCCCCACCATATTTTTTATTAGGTCAGGGGCAAGCCCCCCCCCCCCCCCCCCCCGAAACCCCCCTACTCTTGGGGCCAAAACCGGCGATTAACAATTGCGGGGTGGGAACTACCGAAAAAGCTTTGCAAGTCTGTGTTATTGAAATAAAGTGTTCGCGTTTCATTGGATGGATGGAAGTAATTATACTTACTTGGATGAGTGATAGATCTAGTAAATTATACCTACAGTCCTACAGTGTATGTTGTAGCTTTCTGTTCGAGACTGGCTGATTTTCAGTGTCACTGCATCTTGCCCTACCACAGTTGTTACAACTCTCACAGTGCATGGGTCTACTTGAGCCATTCAAGTTATTGCTTTTCTCTGAGTTTGAGCAATAATTTGAGTCTGTCACCCAGACTGGTTCTTGATACAGTAATTGAAATTCTTGGTCTAGGCCCTTACGAACTCTCAAAGCAGGATTTATTTTTATATAATAATGAGAGGAAAATATTATATAATAGACTGAAATACTTAAGTCAAACAAGACCCCAGTACGACATTGAACACTGACATGTTGTTGACTGGATACATGTATATTGTACGCGTATGTGCTCCCTTTTTCGAGATGGTGAGCTAGTAATTTTTTTTCAGGAAATATTACTGGACACCCTGAACATTTTACTATTACTGGTTGGTCGGTCGGTTGTGGGGAATACACATTTTCCCCTGAAAATACACATTTTCATATTTCCCAATACTCATTTCGGTTTTCTGTGGTTGGCATCTCTGCAAAAGCATCGCTCATTCTTCCAGTGGTGGGGACCCTTGTGTTTCATGGCTCTCGGTCCTTACTCGTCTGACACATTTTATTTTAGCAAGTGGCTATTCTCCAGCGTCGCGCCGGTCAATAGATCGGAAGCTATTCTCCAGCGTCACGCCGCCGGTCTATTACTTATGAATTACAATGTATTTGTCTTGGCACTTCGTGCTACTTCCATTGATACAGAAGATACATTTTCAGACACAAACTGTGGCACTAGTCGAGTTGTGATGTCCCGACTCAGGGGGCGGCCATTTTGGCTAAATCTGTCAGGGGATCTCCAGATTGGGCTCGCATTTTCGGCAGTTCCCACCCCGCTTATTTGAGCCTTGATCTAGATCTATTATAGGCTAGATGTTTGATGCTCGACGAGCGAGAGATATCAAACCTATCTGCAAAACATCATTTTATGATAACCCCCCCTGAACCCTCCTCTATATTTTTTTTTGTGAACAAAAATTAAAATATTTTACACCTCTATCAAAAATCTGCTCAGTGCAAAGGAAGGAGGAACATTTTAAAGGCATTCCCAAGGCGAAAAGTGTTTACTCCAAAATGGCCGCTTTTCTTGTGGGTGTGATACATGTAGTGATGTCGGTGAATGAGATGATGATGCTGGCTGTGGCAGTGATGATGATAATGATGAGGAGGTGGTGTGGTGGTGATGATAAAGAGAGGGTGAATGATGATTGTGGGGAGAAGGAGGAAGAGGTGGTAGTGGAGGAAGGGAGAAGGAAGATGAAGAAAAGAGAATAGAATGATGGTGAAGAGGAGGAAATGGAAAACCTATGGGGCAGTTCAAATATAATCTTACACTTTTGGGGACTTTTTTAAAACACAAAACCCAAATACCACTTTTCTCACATTTGCCTCCAACCCCCACCCACACCAATTACCAATTTAATATTAGTGCTTTTTCCCATCTTCAACTTCCATTATTATTTTAAAGATACCTGTACTATACGTGGCTTTTTTTAACCTGCTTGTAAAAAAAATATCATTTTAGTTAATACAATTTAATCAAACCATATGAACTAGAAAGAACGCATATATATAGATCTATGTGGAAGACATTGAGACTCTTGTCAATGCAATAGGTACGTCCCTTACAAATAAAAGACATCAAGACATTAAAAGATCAACAAAACAGTTGCAAAGTGAAAGTTACAAAGAAACATTAAGAAATTAGATATCCACTTACAGAATTTTCATCATAATTTCAAAATTATTTGTAACCCCCCCCCCTCTAAAAAAACAAAACAAAAAAAACAGCAACGGGGATCTGCAGTGATCATGCAGATCTGGGTCTTGTTACTGGCATTTATCCACTTTTTCTTTTACCTTTTCTTCCCAGTCATGAGCAAAACGTTTATCTCACAGAAGTGTCATATTTGGTTAACATCCCCACCCACCTTACACTTTTCTTACAGAAGCCAAAGACACCCTTTCCCCTCTGAGGTGTAAGTTTATATTTTGAACGGCCCCTATAGGCCTAGATCTATACATTGAGGCATGTCGCGTACATGAGAGGCGGAGTAGGGTCACTTTTCGAGGATCGCCGTAAAAATAGCCTAGGAGGCTATCTTTACAGCTCGCCGTAAAAATAGCCACTGAGATAAGTTAAACAGCAAGCTGTACCAAAGATACTAAACCCTACGGTAAGATGCTGCAGCTGCCTCTTTCCCTCTGTAAAAAAAATGTAGCACGCGTAAAAGTAAAATAGGCCACGCCCCCAGCGAGCATGTGACTGAGCCCCGATGGCTTGGCCCTGGGCTTGTTGGATAGAGTATGAGAGCGTCCTAGTTAATCCTACCAAAGATACTACACCCTACCATAGGCTGTACTATCTTTGGCTATACTATGACTAGACCGGATTTTAGACACAAAATCAATTTTGTTCGTTTAAAGAAACAGAATCATTATTTTAATGACGACCCAAATAAATGAATAAAGTTACGTTAGACAATTATCATAGATAAAATATAATGAAAAGTAGGCTAGTTATTGTATCTCAAAATCTGCGCCGACAAATACATTGTAATTCATAAATAATAGACCGCCGGCGTGACGCCGGAGAATAGCTTCCGATCTATTGACTTTGACCGGCGCGACGCCGGAGAATAACCACTTGCTGTATTTTATTGTCACCCTTGACCCTTGCACAAAAAAAAACAAACCATCGAAAACAAACAACAAAAACAGCAACAGCAACGCAGCTACGTTCGGTTGGGGCCTCAGAAGGGATTGGTTTGTTTTCTTCATTTTGATCAGTCCTGCTAAGACGGCCACCTGTCGTGGTCGTCTTAGACAGGTTCGACTATATTATTCTGTTTGCTAGATTTTTTTTAGATGTAGACATAAAATTATAGAAAAATTTTAGTAAAAATATAAGTGGCATGCCCCCATGAAACCTGTAGTTTAATTTTTTAAAAATAAAGACATGCATCACAGAGTTATTCCTTCTCAATTCGTCTCAAGTGTGTCCATTAGAAGAGTATAAATAATATGGCTTTTTAAACGCATGCTAATGTAGTTCAATACACATCAGTATAACCAATATCTAAAAAATTATGTTTTATGACAAATGTAAAGATCAAACTTGTGTTAAACGGGACCTTTGATTTAAGAAAACAGGTGCTCCCCGCCCCTGTAAACACCTTTGATTCCTGGGGGTAGTCAGAAAATTCCATAAAAAGGAATGACATCATACAGAAAAATTCCAGTCAACAGACACTTGGCACTATGGTAGTGTGTACTATATATTTTGTCGAACCTGCTCTAATGAGACTAATGGCCACATGTAAGATAATCACATGTTCAAGCGACCATTTTGCACTTCTCACTTCTCCCCTTGTGTTGTTTTCTAATGAATGATTATGACGCTGCTTAAGAGGACCACATTTGACGCTGCTTAAGAGGACCACATTTTTGTCCGCGACTATGGGTGGTTGTCTTGGACAGGTTTGATTATATTTTCAGTCTTTTTAACCTTATGTTTTATATTCACAATGAGTGAAAATGCTGTCACTTCACTGTGGAGTGTTTATGAAAATCGCACTTCAATAAATCTGCTGAAGCAGCTTGATCAAGTCTTTAGCTTTCTATATGATTTTAGTAGAAAACATGGATGGGTTTTCCATTAGAAGTTGTTTTAAAATGCACTCCCATTCCTTTGGCAGAGGCTCAATTTATCAAACCGCCATAACTTTAGTAGTGATACCAGTTCATATTTGTCATGAGTCATGTTTTTTTAAAATGGTTTTCCAAGTTTATTAATTGTATTTTTTTTCTCCAAAAAACTTATAAATGTTATAAAATTCTATTCTAGTTTAATAGTTATTTGAAAGGATAAATAATAGCAGAGTTCTGTTGTTTTGTCGACAAATTTACACTAAGTATGAACATTAACTGAGCACTACTGACTTCCTAGTCTTATATTTCCCTTTCACTTTCCAGTTCTGCTACCTTTCATTTTGATAGTTTTTCTTTATTTGAGCTTGGCTTACATTTTACTGTAAAGGAAGGTGAAATCTTTATTTTACCTATGTACACACACCGTGTATATATCTTTGTTCCTGTTTGTTGGAGGTATTCATCTTGACCCATTATAATTCAGTTATAGGACAGCAACTGTTGCCATGTAGATTTTGATTTGATCTCAATCCTCTTTGAAGTTTAAGATTTGAATATCGAACCTGTGGAAGACGGCCTCCGATTGTCGAGAAGAAAAGTGGCCGTCTTAGGCAGGACTGATCAAAATGAAGAAAGTAAACATTTCTCCTAGGAGGTCCAAACTGGGGCTGAGCCCAAGCTTTGGGCTGCCCCCCAAAAAAGTAATTCAAAAGGGTTTTTGTTTTCTTTTGAAAAAAAGAGAGGGGGGGGGGGGGGTGAAAGAAGTTTTTTTTTGGTGATATTTTTTGGTTAGCCTTTTTCCTGATTGCTGATTTTGTGCTAGAGTAAAATTAACAAATTATGTAAAACGATAAAGACCGGGTGCCATGGTAAAACAAACCACTCGGAGAACAAGGGACGATTCTGTCTCAAGTTCACGTTAAAGCCCCATTGTTACATATTAGGTTAACAAAACAGTGTCCACTCACCTCACATACGAGTAGGGGTTGTAGGTGGGGCTTAAAGGTTATGACAGATCATAGGTTTCCCTCACTAGCAGTTGAAAATTTATTGTTACCCATTGGTCAACTTGGGTAAACATTCATTAGGACTAGCAATGACAGGTGAATGAATTACGACGGCCCGACCACAGCGCCTGTGGCTATTGAAAATTTATGACAATGCATCGGGCAATTACTAACCACACCTGGCCGCCTGAGGCGGGTAAATTTGACAGTGGGTTGATAAAATTAGATGGCAGTGGTTGCGTTGGACAGGTGACTGTTTTACACTGTTAGATTATATATTTAAAAAACCCTGGGGGGGGGGGGGAAGTGGCCTGATGGCAGGTTTGACTGTAATATGTGTCTAGATGTTTTATTGTTCAGCAACAAAATTCACATCATATCTAGATTTGAAAATGATACTCATGCTCATACCAGACCACAAGTCCCAGTCCATGTGTTGTGTGTATTTCAAATCAATGTTCGGTACATGTCTGCATTTTGTCCTCACTGGTTTGTGTGTTCTTTTGGCTGTCCCCAGTTGTCCTCGTTGTACGAGAGCCGTCCGCCAGTGTCCAGGGCAAAGATGGCACAGGTCACCAAGTGTGCCATCAAAGGCATCAAATTCTACAAGCATGTAGTGCAGAGTGTGGAGAAGTTCATTCAAAAGGTGAGTTCTCAGTTGTCTTAGTGACAGGGGATTTCACAAATCTTGTGTGCATAAAGGGAGTTGAGGGAGCTAGCTAATATTAGGGATATATCTGGATAATTTGATATATCTCAAGTTTCAAGATAACATTTACTTTAATCATAATGATCCTTGAAGGGAAGAAGTTCACTTTGGATGTCTCATATATCCTGCTTCGTAGTATACAGTCGAACCTGCCTAAACGGAAACCTGTCTTAAAGGAATCTTCCCCCCTCCCCCCTTGATATATTCCTCTTTAATTACCTGTATAAAACGGAAACCTGTCCAACGCGTAAACGGAAAGAAAAGTCCGCTCCCTTCCGAGGGTTTCACCTATCTGGGACGGGAATTGCTTTGCCCGCTCAGTCCTGATTTGAAACAAAACTCGCAAGTTTGGTTCCGCCGGCTCTAAACTTAATGCTATGGCCATGCCGCTGGGAGAGGAAGGGGAGTAGGGGTGCAATTTGGGGGTAGATGTTACCTCATCATGTGAGCCCTGAGCGATGCAGATGGTCAGGGTAGTGTGGGTGTGAAATCTCAGGAGTGCCCGTGAGAGTGCTCGGGTAGTGAGCCACTACGGAAACTTTCCTGGGTAGCCAGAAGCCAGAGGTGTGAAATTAGATTGACCAATGCCTGCCGCCCTGATCGTACGGCCAGCTGAGAAAAGAGTTCCTCGAATCGTTTTTACAATGAAGGCGGTGAGGGGTGGCATTGGTGGGTGTGGCTAAGGGTGGAAGCAAAGATGTTCAAACGTTTCTGTTTTTTATAGGTCAAACAGTGGTCCTATGAAAGGCAAGCACTGGTGGTAATTGGATAAGTAAGACTGACGCATCATGTCATTATCAGACAGGATAGCTATTGAGAGGTTTGAAATTTTTACCACTACTTGCCGATTGGACAAACGATCCTTGATCCCACCGGCTGGGCCTTTGAACCCCCCCCCCCAAACCTCCATCTCCCCCTAAATTCCCTGGTCTAAGACGGAATTTTTTTCTGGCTCCCTTGCGATTCCGTCTTACACAGGTTCGACTGTACATGAGGGTTTTTTTTCATCTCTATGTATTTATTTTTTTTCTTCTTGTCTTTTGATTCTTTGAGAATATAGAATTATGTCTGGTGAAGAAAGAAAGCTTTTTTTTTAATGAAATGCAAAACAGAATGAAGTTTTTTGTTTGCAAGTTGTAATGGTGTAAAGCTTTTTTGTCAATAATAATAATGCTTAATTTGTATGTGGAACTAAAAAAGATCCCAGTGGTCAATTAAAGAGATGCTAGATTTTGTAAAACAAGGTGTAAAACCATCAGTTTTGAGAACAGCTTTTAAGCTTTCTGCTTTTATTTACACACATCACTTACTTTCTACAGGCGTATTAGTAGTATTACATAAAAATGACATTTTCATATTAAAATCAATGATGAACATGTGTTGACTTTCAAAACGCTCCAACTTTTTGATTGGTTCAAGAGGGGTGGCATTGATTGGTTTAAAAAGTGTGGCACATCTTAATTAAGACACAAAGTTGTTTCAAAACCAATTTTGCATTATAAACTTTAACACAAATGTTGGAGGATATTATATTCAAAGAGGAAAAAACTAATGGCATTAACAAACCAAAAAATACATCTCCAGGCATACAGCAAATTATTTATAGAACAGTAACGTTTCTTTAAAGAATTTTTGGCTCTTATAAAAAGAAAGAGGATTGAAATTAATAGTATTCATCTGAATTCACCACGCTGGCTGCCCTGGGATGAACGCATGCAGTTCAGAGGCATGAAATCGGTGGTGGCTAGAAGATTAGATTGTTTATTCGCACGAGGGGACATCAAGATGAAAATTTTGGTGTTCAAAGAGAAGTTGTTTGATAGGAAAATGATAGTGCCAAAATGAAATCAAAATAACAGTGGTCGACCTAATGTCTAGCACTTTGTTTGCACGCTGTGATGTGATGGAAAAATATAAACACAAGGGAACCACCCGGCTGAATTTTTCTCAAGGAACACAATTTTTTTTCCACATGATACTTTTCTTGCCTTTTCATCTACAAGCTCAAAAATGGCCCCTCTGACAACTGGGACCTTTCTCCATCTTTTACTTTATGTTGAACCACGGTGTCAAGCTTTCCAATTGACGATTGTTTCTTCTTGTCTTGGGCAGCCTGTAGTATCAAAGAAAAAAATTGATGGTGTGGGATAATTTTGCATTAAGATGTGGTCAATGTTAAAATGCTACTAGTACTTAAACTTTTGGGGGGGGGTTGTTTTACAGCGCTTGTACTGTGTATAAATATGAGTGCACAGGTAAGAAAAAAGCATTTTCAGTTTGGTAGGAATTCATTTTGAATTTTACCCAGGTGATGGCCGAAGCCTACTCATCAATTTTAGGACCATCAGGGGATCTTTAACATGCGCAACTTGCACATGGGGCCACCAAGATTTTTTCATCGGTATCCGAAAAGGCCAGGTGTTACATCTTACCTACCTTAAGATCAAGGGTGTGGCTGAAAGACAATAGCAATAAGAAAGCCTAGGAGTAGAGTAGAAAGGCTGGATGGAGAGAAAGAGTCAGGAGCCCAGAAGGGGGGGGGGGGTGCAGACAGTGGAGACGATAACAGATGACAGAACATGGTTAGAGAGCAGGAAAGGAGGTGAAAGGGGTTGAACATCGCTGTGAAAAGATAACTTCTTCGAAGACTAAAGGATCACCTTTGGTGCTGTCTGTTCAAGGGGGTGACGAACACAATTATCATGGGTGTTTGTGAGTTTCTCTGCTTTTACCAACTGATGCCCACTGCTGCTTGTATACATAGTTGCTTATCTGTACGTTGCAAAATATATATGTCGTAATTTACTCTTTAAAGTCTGAGTACAGAAGTCTACCTTGGGCATGGAAAGTACCTATTTTCTGTTTTCTAGTATTGCTCTTTGTTGACTTGCTGGTGCTGACGAAAAAACTGAAGCCCAGATTTGTTTGTGAATAAAAATAGAAACAAAGCCCGCAAGTCAATTGAAGAGATGTTTTGCTGTAGTTCTACTCTGAATACATTGGTTTTAATGAATGCAGAAAAGCTTGTGTGAAGGGATCGGAGTGGTTTACTTGGCCCTTGCCCACCATTTTGACTTGATGCTTGGGTAGTATGTTATAGTTTTGATTTTGAAAATTTGGCAGCTATGATAAGATTAGATTGTACGAACAGCATTAGATAAACTTTGTTTAATGATTAATGTAACTTGTGATAAATTCTTTCCCAGTGTAAACCAGAGTACAAGGTCCCAGGCTTGTATGTGATTGATTCCATTGTGCGCCAGTCCCGACATCAGTTTGGGCCTGAGAAAGATGTCTTTTCTCCACGGTTCACGAAGAACATCGTCAACACTTTCACTTTTCTGTTCAAGTGCCCGGCTGAAGAGAGGGTGAGTTTATGTGTTATAAAACAGCAATGGTTTATGATATGTCTATGACGAGGGTTAGGGGTTTAATTGCTAGCTCTGGAATTTTAGGTATCAGGACTGGACTGCAAATGTGGCAGGTTTTAAATTTAATGTGAATCAGTTTATTTCCCAATATACTGGAATAACTTCAGGAATACCCAAACTGTTTTACTTTCCTGTCTTTTTCAGCTGGTGAGGGCAGAAAAAAGTACTTTAAGTCGCAGTGTGGAGAAGGATGTTTATGAATGTGTCAACTGGCGGGAAAGAGCTTAAGAGTCTGCTAGGGCAGACTATGTTGTGTTTAAGATTAAAGCAGCAAATATTTCTGGTTTGTCGAAAATGTTTTATAGATAAAGCCTTATTTAATGAGGAAGTACTGAAGTATGTTATAATGTATTATTGCCTTCAAAATTATGGAAATCACCTGAATATGTTGCTCCAGTTAAATGACGGGATTAGGCCTTTCATATTCAATCCGGTTGGCTAAAAAATTCTCTATGGTAGTCCTCGCTGAATGTGAACATTGGGAGGTTGCAACGTGTACGAAGTTGAACAACATATTATTAGACAGTATGTTTTTGAGTGTATATAAAGCATTGTATATTTAGTATTGGGCCCTCATACCCAACCCAGCGCGTCCCCGGGTGGTGGATAGGGGAAAGGCTTCCATATATGGAGGTTAGCTGCTAAGCAGTGGCGAACCAAATGGGAGATGGTCGTGGAGATTAGAGGGGAACCCTGGTGGCACAGGTACTTCAATAAATACCTCACAAACTCGATGAAGGGACCATCTTGGCGACGGGAGGCGCCATAAATCCTACCAAAGCCCCCATTGCCTTGTGGGTTGTCAGTGGATGACAAAGGCTAGCAGAGAAAACTATACACAAACCGGCAGTAGGCAACGGGAAACCACTGCTGTAATATCCCAAAAATAGTCGTGGAAAAGTACATTCATTTGTCAGTGGGTAACAGGGAAAGATCAGGGAAATGTAGCTTTTTTGAGAGCATCCAAGCAAAGGAATGAATGGAAAACCATGATCGCCGATGTCTGTCGAAGATCTGGCACTGGATGATGATGATGATAAAGCATTAGTGAGCTCTGGTTTAATTTAGGGTGATCAGTTGCTTTCCTCATCTGTATTTAGAGGACATGAATGTCCAGTATCTGTAATGTAATGGTGTGGCTCTTCATGGTGCATTTTAAAAAGACTTGAGATTGAATTGAATGTCTCATGTGGAAGTTATTTTATAAAGCGTTTTTGTCTGCCTGTTGTTATCTGTATCCCTCTTAGCCCAGGATGGTCTTATGAGGCAGGCTCAAAGCTTCCCACTCCCCAAATGATCAAGATTGTGTTTAGAATGGCGGGGGAGGTGGGTGTTAATTATTTACAGTTGTGAATTCTGTACCTTTAAAAAGTTAAGTGTGTTCTTTGTTGGTTGTTGTTTTTTTCAGAGTCGTGTGGTGCGAGTGCTAAACCTGTGGCAGAAGAACAGTGTTTTTCCCATGGAGGTCATTCAGCCACTGTTAGATCTGGCAGCTGATCCCACCAACACAGAACTGGTAGCTGCAGGTAACAGAAAAACCTGGTTCATAGTTGTATGATGAAAAATTCCATATGTTTTGAAACTGATAAGAAAAATCATTACTTCTTTGTGAGGAACTGTTCGTGGTCATATATCTCTCTTTTTCTCATTCACCCTTCCTGTCTGGAGCACCGCTGGTAGAACATTGGTATAATGCTGGATTATGGTGTAAATGGTAACCTTTCACTTGACTCAGTCTTATTGCATTCAGAGGTGGAATTAGGCTTTTTCCTCTTTAATAACCTTTCAGTGTGGAAAAGTATGTGAATGAACATGTGTACAAGATGTGCTCTTTAGATTGAAGTTAACACAAAGGCGGACATTCTTATTATCATTGCGTTATAGATGACAAAGTGCACATCACGTTATAAATATATACTATGAACAAGACTATCAAGACTGCATTTCAGTTGTGTTGCTATGGTTCTATTCTCAGCCCAGAGGTCAGTGGATGCTGTAGTCAGTATGAGCCAGAAGGTACCTTTGCCAAACACTCACTCGAGCAGCAATGGGGGAGACTCAAACCAGCTGGTGCAGCAGACGGAGATGTTGAGCACCATCACCAAATTGTTACAGCAGGCTCAAGATGTAAGGAACTGGTAGAAAGACATTTTGACTGGCACAACTGTGTCTCCATGAAAAGTTTTGTGCTTTATAGCACGCACATACGGAAATCTGTTCTTTATGTATGAGCTTCACTATATTTATGTTTTAGTTACAAGGAATACACCAGTATAAAGAAATATTATGGACTTGAAAATGTTTTCTTCATGTGTGTTTGTTATATATTCATGCTAGACTGTAGTCTGTCTTTTGAGTCACTCAGGCGCAGCTCTTGCTATTGTCTGTCTCTTTAGTGCTGTGCTGTCCTCCTAGACAGAATCATCATAGTCTGTTCAGTTCTTTAGTGAGTATGGAGTGCAATTGACACCATCTGAACAGTCTAGTCCACCACATGGGAGCAATGTGAGGCTTAGTTTTCTGTTTGAATCTTTTTCTCTTCGTAGAAAAAGTGCTTTGTCTAAAAGATTGTTAACAGTGGTTGTTCACAGTATTGGGATTTAAGCATTAAATAAAAGTAGTATTTTTTTTTTTTACATTTCCAATTTCAATGAAAAAAACCAATCTTTTGCTGTCAGTCTAGATGTATAATCTCTTACCATTCAGTTGAAAAGTATTAGAGATTTCTTTGTGTGCTCTCCCAGCCAGTGATATTAATCGTGCTCAGATCTATGGAATGTTTAATCTGTTTTTGTTTTGGGAGGGGGGAGGGGGTACTGTTATGCTTTCCTGTAGTTCAGCCTCTTGTTTCTTTGACGATATGCTGTTGCTTGAGCCTTAAGACGGAAACATAAGTTTAACATTTTATTGTCCTGTTTGTCCAGTGAGTCAGTATTTGTTGTGCAGTGATTTGGCTCTTCTCAATTCAGGGTGGATTACTTCATTTTGATTCCTGTATAGGGAACCTGAATTACTTTCATGGAGTATCTTAGTCTGTAGGCGAGGATGTTGTGTCCCACTCATCCTTGGTAGGCCCTTACAAGACAGGGTTGAAGAAATCTGCTGCTGTCAAAGTGATTTAACTTGTATAATGGGGATGTAAAACATTTGCAAATTTTAATTTTTTTGTTGTTCTTAAATGTTTGTCCTACCGCCTCAAGGATGTAGAATTTATTGATGGGGCCCTGAAGCATTTGCAATTACTTAAAAAACAAATGTTAAAATCTCTGTCTAGGGTTCTATGACGGCAAGCGCACCTGAGTCCCAGCTCCAGCAACTCCAGCACTTGCAGCAGCAGCTGGTCATGCAGACAGAGAGGATTTCAAAGCCACAGCAGGAGGCAGCCCCTGCTATAGACAGCAACCTGTTGGCACAGATACAGACACTAACCAATCAGCTGCTCAGCAAAACCTCGGGCAATGCCGATGCTGCAGGGGATGCTGGGAAGTCATCAAAACCGGCAGAGCCATTGTTCAATAAGGTATGGTGGTCCTAGTTCCTTTCTTGTGACTCGGTATTCTGGAAGACTTATGGTGTATCGATCAGTAGACTTGTCAATAGAATTACTTTTCCTGGAGTTAGATTTTAGGATCGTCCAATTTGTTCTTATTCATTGTCCAGATAATTTTTTATATCGGAGGGGGCTTTCAAACCTGGACAGTTTAATTATTATTCAGATGTGATTGGAAACTAGTATATATTTTCATTTAAGGAGTTAAGTTCCCAGGGATACATCCCAGCTCCCTGTCCTCTCTTCTCCCTGCCTTTCCTCTCTTCTGTCTCATCTCTGTCAAGCTCCTACCGGCACATATCATCGCTGTTGCAAGCAATCCATGAAAGTCAGAATTTTGAGAATCTTCTGTTTTCACAAACTTCCAAAGCTCTATGAAAAATACACCTTGCAATGTCACTGAAATGCAAATTAATGCCATGGTCAAGGCTAGCAGTGTTCTTGCTTTTTATGATTCCTTATGGGAACAACACAACAAAAACAAGTTTTTGTCTCTGGTGTAAAAAATACACTTTTTCTTTTCCTTCAGAAACTTCTTGATTTTGACTATGGTGACAGTGATGAAGACGATGACCACCAACACCACCACCACCATCATCAGCACCCACCCCCACAGCAGCGCCCGCCACCTCTGATGATGACACAGCCTCCTCCAGGGTATGCTAAATAACTACATCAAATTGTTGCACAATGGCACTTCTTTTATGGCGGAGAAATAACCAGATTCATGATAAATACATACTTGATAAGTGACTGAACTAAACTTTGAAAACTACTAGATTATTTTGCTGGCACTGCAATCCTGTTATAGGGTAGGGTGTCCTTTGTAGGGTATGTCTTGTTTGTTATCTCATTTCCAGTTCTTTTTCTTTGTCTCAGTGCTGTGCCCCTGTCATTGCGTCTTTGTGCTTCTGAAACCACCATCAGAGTACTTACAGTTGTTGACTTTGAGACCGATGTCCTGTTCAAGAGTTGGACTGTTTTGCAATGTGTTCACATGGTCTTTGTTATTGTGTTTGTCTGGCATGCTGCTCACCATGCTAGTGTGTTGTTGGGTGCTTCCAGAAGGTTGCACTTCTGTCTTTCGCTTTGTTGATTCTGTCTTTCTTTTTCCCAGGGTTTAGTAACTTTGATCTCGTGTTGATTTATTTTCTTTACTGGAACATACAAATCACTTGGCATTGTATATCTCACCAGCATGCCTCCAGTCATGCAAGACCCGGGTCTTCTGCAGCAGATACAGCAAATGTCGCAGCAAACAGAAGAGTTGCAGTCGGAGATCGGAGCTCAGGAACAACTGCGTCGACGTTTGCTTGAGCAGCAACAGCAGCAGTTTGACAGAGAGATTGGACAGGTAGGTCTACTGTACAAGATGTTGGATTAAAACTAAATTTAAAAAATCTAACATTGTGTGTCTTATTTTTTGTCCTATGCTTTTGCAGCTTTGATGAGGTTAACATTTGACTATATTTTTAGGAAAGCACTATTCCCAGTGACACTGGGGATAGGCCCAGAAACTATTCCCAGTGACTCTGAGAGCAGACAGGCCCATTAGATCTATTGTTCCCACACTGATCTACATGGGCATGATGGAGATGGGTTACTAAATACTAGACTATAATGTCTAATGTAGATCTAGATCTAGATTCTAGAAAGTAGATCTAACTAAAGTAGATTCTAGTGTGAGTGGAATCATTTTTTTAAAGAAAAAGGAATGATCATTCTATGCTTGCTTGTTATTCAGTTGTAATTTATGTACGTGTAGGTCTAGATCTGCGTACGGATTTTGGAGACCACGCTACAGGACAGGTAGAAATCTTTCCCGATTCTTCTTTTCTTCTCTAGATCTTGACCTATTCTTCGGTCAAGTCGAAGCCCTAAGTAAGAGAAGAGAACAAAAGTACTGAACTGAAGTGAGAAGAGTGTCTACAGTGCAAAGACTTCTGGATTTTCAATGCAAAAGAGTTCCGTTGTCACTGGGAATAGTTTCTGTACATATCCCTAGTGTCACTGGGAATAGTCACTTCAATATATTTATTGTTGAGACTTTTTCTAAAAAAAAGAGAAATTTGGATATTCTTTTAGTAGTTACTATATGAGATTGTAAGTCATTTTTATGTGATGTATTTTGTTGCTTTTTGCCTGCTCCGAATAATCATTGTTGTGACCGTGTGTTTCTTTGATGTTCGTCATTGGAGGATCCTTCTTTTGTTTCCCCTCTGTTGATCTGTCTTTTCTTTTTCTCTCCCTTAAGTTATGGGACATTTATTGTGACTATGTGCCTTTCTTCATTCAAAACATTCTCCCCTCTCTACATATATGTAAGGCTGCATTTATGGGCCAACCTCCACCACAAAACTTCATGGGTCATGATGATCTCCGGGGCCTTGATGAGCAGGAGGATGATGAGAACAGAGATGGTCGGGACAGAGGGGACCGCCGCAGACGCAGAGGCTCGAGGGACAGGTCAAGGTCAGTATCATCCGTTGTGTTGATTATTGTTATAGAAGGCAGTCATTTGATTTCTTTTCTCCATAAACTCTTATTTGTAGTGTAGAGGGTTTGTACAGGAGCATAAGGTGTGACAAGCCTGGGGTTTGGCTGTGCTGTTGTAACATTAGATAAGATAGCATCGGTCTTGGTGGTCTCACAGTGTCAAATAGTCATTTAAATTGGTGTGTTCATTGCCGTATGCAAACAGAAGACCAAACAACTTTGATGGTCAACACTCTGGAGTGCTGTTGTTCATTGCTAAGCCCTTTGACATTCAATATAGATGGGGGCGAAATGCTGGCAATTCAACGCTCAGGTTATATAGATAAAGGAAAGAATTTTTAGTTCGATGATCATTATGTTAAAGGAGAAATTGACAACACAGTAATTGATTTACACTTTCACTTTACACTACCTTGCCTATCTTATTGTTCAGTTTTCGCAGAATGAATTTTTTTTTTCTTGTTATCGAATTCCACTTTTTCAAATTGTTTTTAAACCGTTTGACCAGATTTTAAAAAAGTGTGTTACATAAAGTTTTAGGCTTAAAAAATGGGTTTATTGAGTACATTTTGTGGCCGAGTTGTCAATCCAATTTTTTTTCCCCCCACTTTGAAATCAGAATTTGATGCTTTTTTATTATAGAACTTTAAATTTTGAAAACATTGGTGTCTTTACTTTTGTTAAAGTGCAATAAATAACAATTGAGGAACTTTTTCATTTCTGTGGGGGGGGAAAATGAAGATGAAAGGCATTTCTCTAATTTGCAAAAGTCATTTTTTGGGATGCTAAAGGCAACTGAAATAAGATTAAAAGCCTTTGGGTGGTTGGCGAGTGGTCTAGTGTGGTTGCTCTCACTTTCATATCTTACATCTATCCTCCGTTTCTCTCCTTTTTTTTTTTTTTTTGGTTACTTTTTGTAACACCCTTATCTTTGGCACTCTTATGACAGTGTCATGTTGCAAGTGCCATAAAATTCCTACTAAAACTAAGATGAAAGCCTCTAATTTGGTATATCAGCCCCTCCAACTACAAAGTCTTACCCTCATATTTTTAAAGACATAAGTGCAAATGGAATGAATTCATGACAGATTCCCCCCCCCCCCCCCCCCCCCCCCGAAAGTTTCCACCATTTCTATTCCACATGAAGAAAATGCAAAAATTGCCTTTGCTCACACCATTGTAAAATACATATGCAAATATTTTTAATCATTTTAATCACGACATAAAACATACTTGTGCCATTGTTATATACTGATAAGGTAAAAAAAAAAAAGGAAAGGGGGTCAATAACAGTGGTCACTTGTACACATGCCCCCTTAGGCAGGTTATGTATGTCAGTGGATGTGGCCATTTATGAAAGGTTTTTGCACTCTTTTGTTTATCCCCAGATCCCCACGGAGGCGCAGGCGGTCTCGGTCACGTTCTCGGGATAGACGTCGTAGGTCAAGGTCTAGAGACAGGCACAGGAGGTCGAGGTAGGTTCTTAATGAAATGATGCGCTATTTATGTCTCCTTGTATTCTTTCAAATTTTTCTGGGGTTTTTTTTTCTTGGGTGGGGGAGTGATTATGATTTTAAAATTGAAGACATGAAGGTCTGCTCCCGACCCAAAATATATAGGTTTGAAAACAAAAGTTTTTCCTGCAAGTTGTGGCACTAGTGCCTCTTGCATATTTCTCTGTTGCCTTCACTGCCAAGTGTAAAGTTTTGTTTCAAAGTAAAAAGTGAGACTCCAGTGTGTTCAGTGTAGAAAGCTTGGGTCACATGAAATGACTGCCTGTTATGTCAGTTACAGCAGTGGAGACTTACATTAAAAACTTCTCCATGTCTCTTTGTGTTCATTCCTTTTTGATCCTTTGTCCTCTGCTTCTCTCTTGTTGATTTTGTCCTCCGCAAATATTTGGAGGGGGCCTCTGGCACTTCTTTTCTTTCTGTCATCTATCCTGCTTGTTCCTAACACTAAACGACCTTTGTTGTGCTATACACCCGTATTATCTTTCTTGTCCTCTGTACTGTTTTTTTGGGTTTTTTTTGGTGGTATTCCAAGTTGTTCTCTTTGTCTCAGGAGTGAGGGTATGGTGGTGTGATGACTAACCTCTGCGATGCACATGGCCAACCTTAGTCTACAGGTTTTCTGTTCATATGTTTCAGGTCTAGAGAAAGAGACAGTTCTCGTCGTGATAGAGAAAAAGAACGGGAAAGAAGAAAGAAAGGCTTGCCCGACATCAAGGACCAACACATCAGTAGTAAGTTTACATCTCATTGCTAGCTCAAATGTGTACAATTGCCTCTCACTTTTTGTACTGTTAGGGAATCTCTCAGAGGAAGAGGTTCTTTTAGCATTTTAGACCAAAATTACAAATCTGACACGTTTGTTTATGTACTTTATACTTAATAGCTCTTGTTAATTACTAAGAAGAAATGTTATTTATTACAATTCACGTTTACTGTGAATGCATTGTTTGATTGATAGACCTTTTTGAAAAATTTCCTCAACAGTAGTGACATTTGTTGCGAATATGTTTTAACTTTTGATATTTTTTTTTTCTCAGTATGCACGACAACATTGTGGTTTGGACATTTGACCAAGCACACAACTGAAGAAGAACTCAGAGAGCATATAGAGAAATATGGAACCATTAAGACAATCAACGTAAGAGACTTCTAGAAAATTTTCATTTGAAACTTGATTATAAATGCTTCTTTTTTTTTTTCAATGAAGGGTTTTTGTGTGTTTTAAACATTTTGTTTTGTATCGCAAAGGGTTGAGTTTAGAAATGATGATGACACATATTATAAGGGTAAATGTTGGAGATGGACAGAGTCTGACTTTTTCTTTTCTTCTGATGGGTCAAATTGCCGTAGGCTTGTTTCATTACTCCAGTTTTTATGTGGTTTATGTTAAAGATTTCGAGTAGAAATGTTATTTTTTGTGTTCAGACTGGCTCCTGTATACTAAGTTGACGTAGTCAATGATGCCAGGTGGTCCAGTTCCGGTGTAGTTGTGGGCAGGATCATTGGATGGTACCCGATTTGATTGACTTCTGTTCTTTATCAGTCCTATTTCTTCTCTTCCAGTTCTTTTACTCAAACTTAACTGAAAGGGTAATCTGAGGAGATTGTTTTTCTTTTAAAAATTAATAGCGCTGAGTGTTGAGTTAATATGAAGTGGTCCCAGGGTGTCCAGCAAAGCCGTAAAGTCTTAAAAGCACCGGCGTTTGTTGGGGTCACCAAAGTTCATTAAAAAGTCGAGCGTTGCGAAGTATAGGACTGCGGAGTATGGCAGGGATTATTGATTTTTTTAAAGAGACACTCGGTGAGGGGGGGGGGGGGGATGAAGGCAACGCCAGAGGACAAAAACTGTAAGCAAATTTCAGAATTTTGATTAGATTTAGAGCCCTCTGCAAAGCGCGCGTTGATGCAGGCCTTGTGTGAAATCGGGATCCTTCATACCTTGTATTTTGTAAGCCGTGTTATTGAAATAAAGTGTTCGCGTTTCGTTTGTTGGGTGATAGTAAATTAGAACAATATTGTAGCTTTCTGTTCAAGACTGGCAGATTTTTAGTGTCACTGCCTCTTGCCCTCTCACAGTTCTTACACCTCTCACAATGAATAGGTTTACTCAAGTCATTACGTGTGTGTGTGTGTGTGTGCGCGCGTTGTTGTTGTGTAACATGGACCTGGAAAATGGAGAAGCCGGTTTGGCAGTCACCCTGTGTGTACACATTAGGTATAAATCTACCCCTCCCCCCCCCCCCCCCCTCCCCCTCCCACCTCCACCAGGGCAGTGCTACTGACTGAAACGTCTTTAGGCCATTCCCAAAGGGAGGATATTAACATGTTCTTATGTACAGTAGAATTGTGAATGGGCTGATTTATCAATGTCATGCTCATACTGTGCTGGACCAGCGTAGGAGGAACTGCTGCCTTTTCTGTCCTCTTCTTTACTATCATCATTTTCCTCTACTTCTTTTGTATGTTTGTCACGCTTGTGAACTACTATTTCCGGGGTGCCTTGATAGTCGAAGCTTGATTCACTGTTTGGACTTCTCTGTTGACATCCACCCCTTGTCGCTCATATCACCTATGCAGTTGCGAGCGCCTTAAAAACCTTACTAAAAGTAAATCTACTTGCAAGCAAGCTTGCGATCGTCTGTCTATCCTCCATTTTGTCGACTGGACTTTGTTGTGTGTTTTTTTCCGTTCCATATGTTATGTAATAATAATGTATATGTTATTGATAGCGCAAATTAACTCCCTTTTTCTAACTGGTGTGGGGTTTGGTTTGCTGGGTAGTAAATTTTTTCCCAGGTAGTAATTTTTTCAGGAAATATTGCTGGACACCCTGAGTGGTGTGCAAATTGAGTGTGATATATTGGGTAGATGTTTGCATTTCTCAAGTTTTTAAATTAAATACTCAGGGTGTGGAAATGGCTTTAGTTTGTTGAATGCAATAGAGTATTGTAAATGATGGTTTGTTTTGTGTTTGTTCTCAGATGATTCCCCCACGGGGTTGTGCATTCGTCTGCTTGACCCGGAGGAAGGACGCCTTCAAAGCTTTGGACAGGCTCAAGGGAGTCAAGGTCAACACCAATGCTCTCAAGGTACAGGGGATCCTGGGAAAATTGTCACGCTAGGGTAGTCATACTCATTCTTATGTACCGGGAACCCCCTGGAATTTGAAAAAAATCACGGAGACCCAGGAATACCCGTTACCACCCAGAAATTTGCCGGTAGTAGTCTGATAACATAACATTTTTAACCTGCAGGTTTTGCATTACAAATGCTGTGTTGCTTAGAAATTAAATCAATATTTGTTCAGTGCTATCACTTGTGGAAAGAAAAGAAAGTTATACAAGCGTCTTGTCGGGCTCACCATCATGACCGGTCAGTGAACCTGGGCGTTCGCAACACATTTTGGATTCGCCAAAGTTCATTCAAAGTCTGAGCGCAGCGAAGTATAGGACTCCGGAATAGGGGGATTATTTATTTATTTTTTTTAAGATACACTCGGGGGAGAAAAGATGGGGTTAAAGGCAACACCTGATGACAAAAACTTGGAAGCAAATTTTAGTATTTAGAATTTTGGTTGCTACGTGAGCTCTCTGCAACGCTTGCGTTGGTGCGGGCCATGTGTGGAATCGGGATCCGTCATACTCATACCTTGTAAGCCGTGTTTTTTAACTAAAGGGTTCGTGTTTCATTGGATGGGTGATAGTTAATTACATGTATTGTATATCTATATTTTAGCTTTCTGTTCAAGGTTCGCAGATTTTCAGTGTCACTACATCTTGCCCTCCCATATTTCTTACAACTCTCACACTGAATAGGTCTACTTGAGCCATTCAAGTTATTACTCTACTTTTGAGTTTGAGCAATAATGTTTGTCTTTCACCCAAACTGGTTCTTGACAGTCGATATTCTGGTTCAAGGCCTTTTCTCAGGCTCAAAACAAAATTCATTTTTATATATATGTGAGCAATTCTCAAAAGGTGCTCCCAATTTTGTTTCTCAAGGGCCCAAAGTTAAACGTGGTCAGAAGTCAATGAAACTTCACAAAGGACAAATACAAGCTTTGACACATAAGAAAACAACACTACAAAATCACTGCTCTTTGAGGTTTTATTGTAGTTTGCGCAAAAATGACCCAACTGGATTTGGTCGGCTGTGTTGATGACAGACAAAATTGATCTTTTCAAACAAATGGAACACTTTCAACACCATAAGATTTTTAAAAAAGAACTAATATTGGGAATAGATATGAACTGGATACCATATTTTATATCAAATGAGTCATTTCTATACGGTGCCCCACGCTTTGTGTCTGTCACCAGTCACATCCGACAGCAACCAATCTTTCAATTTTTCAAATTTTGACAGTGGCTAATTTTTATCATCTAAATCTGTTCAATCATGATATTTGTACTCATTAGCTGACTACAGTAAAGCTAGAAAATCAATTTTGCCTTTGCTAAGACTGCAACGTTCAAAATTGTTTTGGACCATGATGATGACTGACAAAAATGTTGACTTTGATTATGACTGACTAGGTACTCTTTGGTGTAACTAGTAGCCTTCAAAAAGCAAACACTGTCATAAAATTAGGAGTGTATAGCATTCTCATATGTAGAATCATAAAAGGGAATGGTATTCAACTGTAAATTGCATCAATCCATGATAGACTTTGATATTTCAATTGAAATTGATTGGGTGTGATGATGACAGACAATACTATGAATAGTAAGCCTATAAGTTACAATCCATTCAGTGCATTATTTAAAGAGTGATGCTGACATAATATGCGAGTTGTAATGATGCAAAACAAGATAGAATTGGGTGTAGAAATTGAAGCAAACATTTTCTCTCTCCTGTTCAATTTGTTCTTCAGTTTCAGGCCGCCACCGTTGGTCGTAGTTTCTCTCTTTCTATAAGCCTCGTATCGTTCAAGATTATTCTGGTGCAGAAAAAAATATACCAAAATGTAAGGGATATCAAATTTCTAACAGTTAACGACCATGAGAAGAATTTATAATGCAAAGACACCCACGTTCACGCCTTACGATTTAAGATTTTTTAAGATGTGATTTGGGACCAGGATTTTCTAAAGGTAAATCTATCTTTAGGTCTCGACCTGCAATTACTAGCTAGATTTAGAAGGTTCTAGACATACAAAAGTAATATCTGTCAATCTAAGTGATAGATCTAGATGTTCCAACCCTTGTTCTTGTTCAAACCCAGCACAAAGGCTACAGAAGTTGAGCGTGATTTAATTAACGAGTTCTGTCATCAATGTCCGTCATGGCCAACTGTTAATTTACTACAGGCACTATCATCTTTTCCCATGAACGCAATGGCATGTGCCCCAGAGAACTGCAGATAGCACCCGATTATCGATACAACACCTTGGAAACCTAAAATCATCTACTTTTGTACCAAAAAACGTTTGTTTCGTCGGTTGTGATAATGACAGACCTGTCTATGTCTGTCTTTTTTTCAATCAAAAGCCATTTACGACATGGGAGGATAGTGTAAACATGCATTTGAGCCTGGATGAAACACATGGAAAACCGAGGGAAATAAAACTGAAAATAAACCAAGCGAAATGAATTTCAGTTTTGTGCCAAGAGCATTTAATTATTGTTGGTCATGATGTGTTGGTCGGGCGTGATGGTTGGGATTTGATGACAGACAACGAACATCACTTACCTTCTGGCTTCTCCTCCATGATCAGTCTGAAGAAATCAACACCCAGCAGGAACTCGAGGTTCAGGGATTCAAAAGTGTACCGAGAAAATCATGCTCAGGTTAATCGCTTGGAGATACGGGTCGATGGTTGGCTGTGATGAAGTGACAGGCAGAGATGTGCGCACAGAAAAAACGTTCATCCACCCAAATCCCTGCTTCACTTAAGTTGTATGTCCATGTTTTAATTGTGAAATTAAATAAACAAAGTTATAAAGCCATAGAAAGTGCTCAAAGACAATTTTAAGTGAAGTAATGGATACCTTGAATTTGACCTTATTGATGACTGACAGCATCACAGCCAACTACGGAAAGTTTAAATCATCACCAAATACAAAATACCTAAACAGCATGGTTCTTGGCTTGAAAATATACAAAAGAACGCTGGGAAATCAAAGGGCTGCCCCTAACTATGAATTTGACAAAATCGTTGTTTTAAAAAACATTTAGTTTTAAAATTTTCAGTTTTAGGAAAATACAATTGTAACACCCCGTGATTGGCTGATTAAAAAAACAACATTTGCCATTTGATTAACCTGACCCATCCCCACCTTCCCAGCGTATAAGTTAGGAAAAGAATCCCAACGGTCATCGTCATTATATCATGTGCATCTGGCTAACTTTGACACCCTCTGTGCACTGAGCCCTTATAGTTGCTCAGTAACACTTTACCCTTAGAAAATTTTAAGCTAGGAATTAGACCAACCTTAGTTTGACAAAGTGTTAAACAATTCTTGTGCCTATGCGTTGTGGGTGACGGCCTAGGCCATTGAGAAAAACAACCCAAAAATGTATCAAGATATGCGCGGCATGTTGTGTTGTGATGTGAAATTAAGATCAAAGTTTTGTGATGCGTCCTGTCCATTTCTTTTGTTTTTGCAAAAGTCAAGCCAACAGCCAATAAAGTAACTCTCCCCACCCTTTATTTTTTTCAAACTGGACAACAACGAGCCCGCCAAAACTTCTGTCATCATATCTTTATTGACTTTACACTTACCCTTTATCCCCTATCGTTGACACTGGCACCTCAGGAAAAGGGATTGTCCTTGGCCATATTACGATTTTAATCTCTCATTTCTTTTCATTTTTTTCTTCCTAGCTCTGTCATCTTTTTAAAAAAATCACTTTGAAAATGCAATTCCAAATCCCAGAGGAAACGGGGGGAACAATTTTTTTCTCATTGATTAGTGGGAACGCTTTCTATTGTCCGTATCTCTTTTTTCTTTTTGGTGTTTGTTACTCTTTTGTAACACATCGCTAATCTTCAACACTTATACGACCTAATTGTGTTGGGAGTGCCATTAAACTCTTCCTAATACAAAAATTAATAAGTGTGTGTCTATGTTCTTCAAATTTTCCATCAATCTAATATTTGTGTATTTTTAACGCTGTGCAGGTGGCCTGGGCTCCTGGCATTGGTGTGAAGGAGTCGATGTACAAGAACTTGTGGGATGTGGAGCAGGGTGTCACATACATCCCGTGGGAGCAGCTGCCAGCAGACATCACTCCGTTCCTGGATGGAGGCATGGTGGATGAGGACACACTGCCAGACAGGTTGCGAGGTGAGCCCTTTGACCCTTGATAGGCTATACATCATCATCATCATTACTGCCTTTCTCACCGTGTGGGTGGTTGGCGGGTGCTCTGGTGTGGTTTACTTCTTCTTTCCTATGAAACATCTATCGTCCTTATCTCCCCTTCGTCTTTTTTATGTTTGTTACTCTCTTGCAACACCTCTAATCTTCTGGCGCTCATATGACCTTATGCAGTTGCGAGCGCCGTAAAACCTCTACTAAAACTAACTTTCTCACAGTGCATCAGGGTATAGGCACAAACAAACAATTTCCACCTTACCCTACCTTCTTGATATTGCTCCATGTCTTCCCATTCTTCTGACAGGCAATACAGTGCCAAAGTAATTTCTTTTTGTTTCTCTGAAGAACAGCCTGGGCAGATGTTGGGGTTGGTTGGTCGTCCACTGACAATTTAGAACATAAATAATTTGCTATCCCAAGTTTGTATGGGGGGGGTTGCAGACCCAGCAACACAGTTTTTTTTCATACTTAGCTTTGTTTATGTTATTATTTAAGTTTGTGCTCACATGCATACATTTTTAAAGTCCTTAGAACAGCCAGCTTACCTCCCCCCCTTTCAATGAACCTTTCGTAATGTCCAAGCAAAGACCAGAGAAATACTGTAATGCTGAAAAGACACCCGGTCTTATACATATCCATATTTTTTTCTGGCTGTTGCTAGGTGACTGTGGTGCTTATAAAGTTAGTATTCATGTTGCCTGTTCTTGTTCAAGAAATTGCAATTGGTTGTGTTGCAGGCATTAACAATGGTGAAGATGATGGTGGGGATGATCAGCAACAACAACAACAGCAACAACCACAACCACCGCAGCAGCTACTTCAGCAACAGCAGCAGCAACAGCCTCCTCCCCAACCTGACCAGAGCATGGACAATGAGGGCATGCACGGCATGGAGAGCATGATGCAGCAGCAGCAGCTCCAGATGGGTATGCCTCGACAGCCTCCCAACTTCCCACCCGGAGGAATGCCAGGTAAAGCTATTCTTTCAGTTTGGAAAGGGCTTAAAGCCTTTTTTCCTCCATAAGCCTACGCGTCCACCAAAATAAGATCATTTCCAGGCCAGGTTAATGTACGAGGTTTTTTCATGGTGTAGAAGCGACTCAAAAAGATCCACGTCCACCGATGTCAGACCAGCCAAGACGGAATAAGACAGCTAAACCTATTTTTAGCCCAGTGCGTTATGATTACGAGAACAACAGACAGCACAGGTGATTGATTTATTTATTTATCACTTTAAAAAACTAAAAAGCAACAATTTATCATTATGGTAAACATTGTTGGTAAGTTGGGATGATGAGAAGGAAAAAAAAAAAAAGCTGGGACTGGGATTCGAACCCACGTTAAAAAAATATTGTCTGTCTCCAAACGCAGAGACACTGTTCACTCGGCCATCAGAACTTTCACCAGCGAAGGGTAAATTAAGCTTCATATACGGCACTGTTTCAGGAAAGGCAAAGCGACACAATATATCGAGATGTAGATCTAGAATCTAGGCCCAGATCTAGTGGACCGGCAGATAATGTCTGGAGAAAACTAAAAATTGGCGAAAAATTGGAAGCACTAAACATTAGAGATCGTAGATCTATCTAGATCTAGACACGTCCCTAGCTAGGTCTAACATGGCCTATTTTTAGCTCTCCCGAGAACGAAATAATGATCTAGATCTAGGTCAAGTGCTTTAATTTCATTTTTCGCTGTTTTTCAGCTCAGATCTGCTATTTTACAATATATTATAATAAGATACAACTTTATTGATCATGTAAAGTACAATGAAGAAGCAAAAATGTACTTAAAGATGCAAATTTCCTTCCAAAATGAGTCGAATCGGGGCTTTCTTAGTTCCCTACACGACTGACGAAAAAGCGTGCATGCAGGAAAATCGCGTAGTCAGGCAAAGGCAGTCAGTGACTGACAAAAACAAGCTCATTTGCATGTGAGCTTGGCCTGCAAGTGACGAAAAAGCGCAGTGGACGCGGGGCCTAAATAATGATAATGAGAATAGATTTAATTTTTTTTCGTCACCAAACTGATACTCTAAATCTTACTTGCTTCCAAGCACTGGGATCTTAGGAGAAAGACTGCTGAAATGGAAAAAAAAATGAGATGTCCCAACCCGTGAGGATTCAACAGCATGTTTAGAGTTAATTTTTTACTGTGATGGGCTTTATCATAACCGAAGCCGAATGTTTTTGCTTATACATTAATCATTGAGGTGAAGATAGTTTGAAAATCTGGTACCAGGTGTGTGTGATAACTTTGGGGCTGAAAACAGCAACTTCTTTATAAGGGTTGACTTAAATAGTTATCATTTGAGATTAAGGGGAGGCCACGTGGAACATGGGGGGTACAGAGAATAATCTATATAAAAGTGAGAGGACACGGAATTAAATATCAAGACGAGGAAAGGTGGAAAGTGTTTGCATTTGGCCTATAACTGGAAGCAGTGTGAGAAAGGCCGGCATGATGATGAGTAATTGTTACAACTTTGAAGATGGGCTCGGATCTGGTGTTTGTAGTGTAGTGGTTGGACTACTGGACTTGTAATTGTGAGTTTGGGGGGTTGAGTCACAGGTCCAACGTTGTGTCCTTGGAAAAGGCACTTTACACAAATTTTCCTCATTTCACCCAGGTGTGAGTGGGCACCCGGCCATACACGGCGAAAGATCTTGTCAGTAAGTTAGTGCTTTAGCACCTATAAATGGCTGCTTGCACTGTATGCTACCCAAGAAGTTGAGATTGTTCCAGAATGCTACCTAGTCTTCTTGGGTAATAATATTGTTAAGTGCCTAGAGCTTGCTGTTGAGTGGAAATTCGCGCAATACAAATGATATCTATTATTATTATTATTATTATTATCTGACATGTGGGTGGTTGGAGGGTGCTCTGGTGTGGTTTGCTCCTTCTTTCCTATCAAACATCTATCTTCCTTATATTTCCTCCTTTTTTTATGTGTTTGTTACTTTTTTGGAACACTTCTAATCTTTGTCACTTACATGACAATATTGTGTTGCAAGTGCTGAAAAAAACCCTTTCTAAAATTGATGGATCTGACATTCTTCTTTTTCTGCTGACAGGTCAAAATGCCATGAATCTACTTGGACCTGGTGGACCCTTAAACATGATGGGCAGGCCGCCTATGGACATGCGCCATGGAGGTCCCATGGGTCCAATGGGAAGGCTGCCAGGAATGGGTGGACCAAGACCAGGAATGCCTGGTGGCCCGAATATGCGCCCAGGTGGCCCCATGAACCTCGGAGGACCTCAGGTGAGCACAAGACTTTTAATATCTTTATATTTAGTAATGTAGTATGCTTCTTGAATTTTAAGAATCGGTTCATAAATAAAAAAGTTATGGGGTTGTAAAGGTCGGCAAAATTAGGATGACCCTCATATAGGAAAATACTCCTAAAAAGTGGACCACGCAGTAGCATATTCTGTAAGAAATTCGACGATATCTCGGTCACTAATCGGAGTGTTAGAGAGAAACTTGGCTACCCGATGTGTTTTTTGGGTGTAGAAATCATTTCTGCAGTCAGATTTACTACCCATTTTGTAGTTATTTTGTTATAATTAAAGCTTTGGTGTACATATTACGATTTTGCGAAAAAGGGGTGTCGGGATGAGTCCATTTTATTCATAGCATCGTATCACAACATGGGATCTTTAAGAATATATGTCGGCAGCGTGATTAAATAATTGCAAAGCTTTTTATGATGACTTTAGACCATGCCAACCGTAAAAGTTAATTCAATCTAGCATGCTGTACAATAAAAAATTCTTTTTCCTCGTTGAGGCGCGAACACCCCGAGACGAGATAAGCTCGCCTCGGAATACCCCCATTGCGACGTTACAGGGGAATAGAGAAAAACAGCCGGATGCACGCGCTCGCCATTGCCCTATTTCAAGTGACCAATGAACGAGCCCGGAATAGTCATGCGGGGATTTGTAGGTCACATACATTTGCCGCGAGAGTGAGGAGAAAATGGCCGGTCTCCGTGCGAAGCCGCTTTGGATAGGGGGTTAGTCGTGCATTTATGATCGGGTCTAAACAACTACTTGACTCTGAACGTTCAAATTTGAGCACACTATAGAGGATAGATCTATTACCATCTCGGCGTTAAAATTCAAACTCCATATAGTTTTCGGTGTATCCGTTACGAAAATGTTCCCGACACCAAAAGTATAGGTTAATTTATGTGTACGAACTTCAACGTCCACATATTAGTTTGCCCTATTTTCTGATTGGTTGCCGAGTTTCATTCGGATTGGTTCGGAAATAGAGCAGACCGAGGTTGACAAAGTTAGTCGCCTACACATCGGCCAGGTCCGCAAAATCACCAGCAAACGAGGACCAAATTTTCGCCACGCGGGAAAGCCCGATTGGTATTGCTAAGTAATGACAAAACTTGTCCCCTGGCATCGCTTCCTTCAGGGCCAGCGATAAGAACACTTGCTTTGAAGTATGCCTTTGAACAAAGAAAAACTGTCTGGCATTCTCTAATTTTTATTTATTTTCTAAACGTTTGTCTAACTTCTTACACCCTAAATTTCGGACGACAATCCTAAGCAAGGGGAAAGAACCTATGTTCCATGAATACCAGCATTTGATAAATACTAAGCAAATTCCAAGACTCTTAAAAAAGTAAAAATTAGAAAGAGAAATGAATATTAGTTTCCAAAAAAATATAACTTTATATGCACACACTGTTGGAAATGTTCAACTTGAACATTGAACTTTAGTTCAATCGTAGTGTTTGAACCGTCTCTTTCACTCTCAGCCTCGCAGTCAGGCTCTAGATCTAAATTCTACATCTGATTAACCTGAATCGCCCCAAACTCTTGCTGCAATGTTTTCATCAATATCTGTCTCATCTGATTTGTCATTTGCTTTTTTTTACTCAAATCCATTATTTCTTTTTAAAAACTCAATTGCGTTGTTTTTCAACGACTCCAGACACCTTTGAAATGTCGGAAACGCGATCGCATTTCGATCGCCTCTAATACTAACTACTGGCCCAAAAAAGTTCGGTTCGGTATCAAACAAAATGAGAAACATTTTGCAAAAACTATGTGAAACGAAATCTCAGCCCCAGAGTCCGGTCAAAACAAAAATTGGAATATTGCTTTACGGAAAAACACTGGCATTTGCAAATTTATGGATTAATCTCTGGGCCCGTATATAAATAATAAGATAGCTATACTGATTTGCTTTCACATGTTTGGCGAATGTATTTTTTTCCATCAAAATTTATTTTTCTCATCACCGTCGCCATTGCTAACCCTTCTATTGCATACTTATGTTAATAATTAATCCTTGTTTTATATTGGGATGTATTCGTCATTCAATTTCCTTCAATTTGATATATTTTATGTTACGTTTTGACTGATGGTTATGCTTCGATGAAGTTATTTTGTACACCACCTGCATAGCCAAATCGAGCCACAAGTTAATAATGTCTAGACCCAAAAAAAAAACTACGCCCGCAAAGAGTTAATTGGAGTGTTAGAGAGAAACTTGGCTACCCGATGTGTTTTTGGATGGAGAAATCCTTTCTGCTGTCAAATTTACTAATCATTTCGTAGTTATTTTGTTATAATTAATAAAATTTTGGTGTACATATTCAGATTTTGCGAAAAAGGGGTGTCAGGATGAGAGCATTTTATTTATAGCATCTTATCACAACATGGGATCTTTAAGAATATGATGGCGGCCTCACTAAATAATGGCAAAGCTTTCTTTGATGACTTTAGACCATGCCAACCTTAAAATGTAATTTAATTCAATCTAGCATGGCGTGCTATTAAAAGTTCTTTTTTCCCGTTGAGATGCGAACATTCCGAGAGATAAGCTCGCCTCGGAATACCTCCATCGCGATGTTACAGGGGAACAGAGAGAAAAACAACCGGATGGGCGCGCCCGCCATTGCCCTATTTCCAGTGACCAATGAAAAGTCATGTGGGGATTTGTAGGTCGCATACATTTGCCGAGGGAGTGAGGGGAAAATTGCCGGTCTCCGTGCGAAGCCGCTTTGGATAGGGGGGTAGTCGCGCATTTAGGATCGGGTCTATGCAACTACTCGACACAGAACGTTCAAATTTGAGGACACTATAGGGGAAAGAATTACCTTCTCCGGTTTGAAGATCAAGCTCCTTAAAGTTTTCGGTACACCCAATACGAAAGTGTTTCCGACACCAAAGGTATAGGTTAATTTATGTGTATGAACTTCAACTTCCACATATCATTAGTTTGCCCTATTTTCTGATTGGTTGCTAAGTAATTCAACAAAGTATTGCATAAAAAATCTATTTGTGTCAGCAAACAGCAAAATGAATGACAATTCAGATAATGCATACTTAAAAAAAAAAACAGGCTACATATCAAGACTGAACTGTTTTCATCTTGAAAACCTGAGATTTTTTTTCTTTTTTGTTTACGGTTCTGCCTAGAATTCTCCAATAATTTAGAAGTAAAAAAGTGCAGTTATCATGTGTTGTAAACCCGTAAATTGCCTTAGAAATCACCAATATTCGTCATTCCGAGTTATTTAATTCTCCGCCTTATTAAAAACATTGTACTCCTTTTTAATTTGATTTGTGGGCCTTGTCATCAAGACCAGAACTTTAGTGAAAGCGAACTTAAACTTTAAACCATGCAGTAACATCATGTGACATAGCTTTATATGAGGAAGGCATGTGTCTGGGTCCCTGGGATTGGAGGGGGTCACTGAAGCCCATTCACACTTAATGCCTGATGTAGTTAATGGGTCTTTTGACACTTACCAGTGATAAGGCACAGGTTTTTGAGGAAGAGGAAAAAAGTACAAATTCTGCATGCAGTGGTGAGGAGCATCACTGGTGATTATTATAAGCCTGTTTGCTGGCCCCACCCCTCCAACAAGCAACAACGAAAAAAACACATAATAAATTCTGACCAGAGGCTCCAATTAATTTTTAGGAGGGAGAAGTCAGACTGTAATTGTCAGTAAATTATTGTACTTCTCTTTCGTCTCTAATGTTTATGTACATCCTGGTCTCTAGTGCCAGTAAAGGCTGCATGTCGTCTTGGCCCCTGTAGAGTTTTGGGTCTCCCTGCTTTGGGTTTGACGAATATTTCCTTCTAAGTGCCCAGAGCATTTGGCAGGCTTGTAGCCGATGATTTCCCGTTTGGACCTCTATGAAGGATAAATATTTGAGCTACTTTGTGTTGATACAATGAAATGACATTTCATTGTGCTGTCAAAAAATTGGTGGCGCAACTTATTGTGAGATGTCTCCTCAACTATCAAACTCTCCAGTTTTTGCTCTGTGACTTGAATCAATTTGTCTTAACAGATCAATATTTTTGTAAGCATCTGTTAGCTCTATTCTAGAAAATTCCTTGATCAACACTATTAAAAAATACCAGTGGGTGGTTTCTACATTGAAAAGGTTTACAGCTGGAACAATACCGCTTTTAAAAGCAAGCCCATAATAGTTTTTCTAATCGCGAGATTATGTTTATTGCCTTTAGTTTTAAAAAGTATTCACTATAAATTAAATTTCTTGTTTCGAGTTTTGCCTCTAAAAAGTGTCATTGGTGGGCTGTGACGTAGGCCATATGTACACAAAATGTGTGTGAGAAGCGGGAAGTGCCGTGAACAATTCCATTGCCGGCGTGAGAGAGATTTATAGTATCTAACATAAATTTATGAAGAAAAGTTTTTAAATCTAGCCTCAAATGTTGTGCAATTACATGATACAGTTAAGACAAACTGGTACCTACTGCTGTGTAAAGTATAGGTGATATAGTTTGAATGGTTAAAAAATGTTTGAGGATAAGTTGCGCCACAAATTTTTGATGGCACTATAGGTTGGTGGTATTGAGTGTCCCTGATTGATACGAGGAGAACATCCATCTCTCCTTTCATTTCTCTTTTTCTGGGATGCTTACACACCTTTTTTTTTTCTTTGTGTCTTCAGGGTGGCATGCTTGGCCAAGGTAACCAGCTCAGAGGCCCCGGCCCCAGGATGGACACTCCCCCACCAGGAATGGGCATGAACTCCCCCAACCCCCGCGGGGCCTTCCCACAGATGGGTGCTATGTCCCCTCGCTTCCCACAGATGGGTGGACCTGGTGGAATGCGACCACCATTTTTTAACAACAATAATAACAATAACAATGATAACAACATGTCTGGCATGGGTGACAGTGACATGCGAGGAGGGATGGTGGAGCCCAAGGAGTGGCCTCCAGATGATGAGGTCAATGCGGAGGATGAGCCTGACGAGGACTCTCTCATGGATTCAGATGAACGTATGTTGCCACTAAATGCTGGCCAGCGTATGCCTCCGGGGATGAATATCAGGGCCCCTCTCGGGAACCCTTTTGGCCCTCGAGGTCCATTAAATGCCTCAGGCCCTATGAATGCCATGCTGGCTGGAATGTCACGGGCTCAGGCGCCAAGTGCAGCGGGAATGTCAGCCATGCTGTCTCTGCGCATGATGCCCCCTGGTCAACAGCAGCAAATGCTGGCCATGGCTGGCGGTCCAGGACCAGGGTTTGCGCTTGCGCCTGGCGGTGTACGTTTGCCAGTGTCAGCTGTTGGAGTCAGACCGGGCCTCATGTCCGCCGGAGCCCCGACACGTTTGCTCCCGCAGTCCTCTGGGGGACCTCTGCCTGTGGCGGTCAGTATGAATGGCTCTGTGGTGGTGTCTCGGCCCACTGTGCCAGTGTCCAGTACACAGATGAACAACGCCAGTCCGGATATTCCCCTGCCCAGCTCAGAGCGGCCCCCATCACGGGATGACGATTCCCCTCACAGCATGTTGTCCAGGAGGTCCCCCAATCCATTGCCACTGATGCAGATGGCTGGGAACAATCGCCCTTCACCGGGTGGCCCTATTTTAGGTCGTGGTTTTGCTCCAATGACCATCCGGCCCAGGGGAGGTCCAGGCTTGCTTGGCTTGCGACCTGGTGCTCAGGGAGGAACCTTTAGCCGGTTTGGGGCTCCTGCCCACAGACCCATGATGGGAGGTTTTGGCGGAATGGACAGGCCGGCATTTGGTGGGCGGTTTGGGGCCCCCTTCAGGCCTCCAGTTGGGTTCATGGACCATGAAGACAAAGATGAACGTAGAATGTTGCCTCGTCTTGATGTTGACGAGAGGTCAGGGGATATAGATGAACGCAGTGTACCCAAAAGTGATGAGAAAGATAGAGATGGGCCTCAGAAAGATGTAGATGAGAGGAGAGATGTTGACGAGAGGGAGAAAGTGTCTCATCGGTCGGGCAGGCCGAGTCGCTGGTCTGATGCCAATGATACAGTGGATGTTGACGTCCCAGAGCCAGTAGTGCCAGCAGCTGTCGAGCCTGTCCCGATGAGCGAGTCCCCTGGGCCGGATGTTGTGGCTTCTCCGCCAAGGGTTGCCTCCCCTGTAGAGGCTGTTGTGGAGCCGACACCTGTTGTGGAAGTGCCACAAGTTGTTGAGTCTCCCCCTCCCTGCAATGTGCCAGAGGTGGAAACTCATACCTCACCACCTCCAGCAGCTCCTCTTTCCGCACCGTTTGACCCGCCTTCTGCGGAGTTTGACCCGCCTTCTGCGGAGTTTGACCCCCCTTCTGCTGTTATTGACCAGCCCCCGTCAGCTATGGAACCTCCTCCTGCTTCAGAGGTGTGTGAACCTGTTGCCACTGACAGTGGGCCGGGAGAAGGAGGTCCGTCAGAAGAGGCTCTGCTCCCTGATGCTACTGTGGAAAGTGGTGAGGCTGAGGGGGAGGCTGATGTTTGAATGACTTGTGAGGGTGGAAAATTGTGGGCAACATGGGAAATGAATGCGTCATGAAGGCGTATCATTGATCAAGCATATGCCTTTGTGTGCAATTGTTGGCAAGTTCTGCTCACTTACGATTCAGAGTGATTTGAAATGAAATACATGATTGTACAATTTGTAAATTGTATATTTTTGTTAGATATGATGATCATTTAAACTGGAATTTCGTTTTGTTAGAAAATTGCATGTGACTGCTTTGTTGATTGATATATATTTGTACTTCTGCAGGGCTGGGTGCTGGGATGACATGATGTTTTTGTGTTTGTTTTGGTGTGCAATGTATTTTATGACTCTCTTTCTTTCTTTCTTGTTCACATTCGACCTGTCTCGTTTCCTCAGTAGGCTACTTGCTCTGTGTTTCTTTGTCACTGTCACTCTCATTCCTTCACTCTCTTCAACTGGTTTATTCTTGTATCTCCCTTCACTTCTTCATTCTTTTTCCTTCTTTCTGTCTGTTTTCTGTGCCATACTGTACTTTCATACCTTTTCCTACTAACTATAGTGAGATCGTGAATGACTGTTTGTGATGTCATAAATTGTATACGTGATGGTCCTGCAATGTCTGGTGTAGTTTTCTCAGTATTTCATTGTTGACAGGATGCCATATGTTACTTAGTCATTGTATTCATGCTGAAAAATTGACTATTTTTCTATCGTTTTTGGCATGAATTATTGGGAAGATTGGTTGTCAGGGGATTGTTTCTCTTATTACTCTTAAGTTTTGTTGGTTTTGCATGTTTACTTTATAATTTTTACTGATGAAAGAGTTTTTGTTTTGTTAAAAAAGTTTTTTTATGCGCAGGCTCAGATCCTCAAGTATTGTTTTCATGGAACTGTCATTATGTAGGGACATATGGTTTTACCTCACCGGTATTATTCAGACTTGTACTGTGAGGGGGAGGGGGAATGGATTGTTACTGTCTTAGAAAAGGGTCTTGATTATGTTTCATACTATTTATACTTTTCCAACTATCACTATATATTATATGCCTTTTGTCTTTTCCCTCTCTTTGCACTTTTCTTTTCCCTTCTTTCCTTCCTTCTTAGAAAAGAAAAATGATATTTTAAAATTTAAATTAATAACTTTCCCTTTTTGTTTGGAGTGGATTTCCTGTCTGTGGGAGCTGAATGAGCAAAGCATGTTTTTGGAAGAATTAACAAATGAGTGGTTTCAACACTTTTTAAAAATTTCGATTGACAGTAAACAGTAACACCTTGTGTGAAATCTCAGCAGTTTTTCATTTTCAGTAGAGTCACCTTCCAACAATAGGAATACTTCCTCAGAAAGTTGAGAAAGAGTCCTCTATAAAAAAGAATTGCCCACCTTTCAAATACCAGGTATTGCAGTTACTAATCTTGGCCACTGTCGCTTGTGATCTCAGTTATTATTTTTTTGTTTCTTCCACTTTCTTGACATTTCTAATAGGCTTAAATTTGGTAGCTACAATGATGTTTAATTGCCGATTCGTCACTGCTTTATTAATTTTGACTTGTTAAATTGATCTAAGTATACTAGTTTGTACCAGAAATTTGATAGGCTACATTGGTTTTTATATATGCACCAAATGTGATGTAGGTTACAGTATTGTATGGATAAAAGGATTGGAGTTGTAGCAGAAGTGTTGAGACCTGTCTTTTAACTAGAGAAACAAGGAGAAAAGAGGGTTAAGGATAGTGATCGCGTGAGTGATGCTATTCAAGGCACACTCTTTTCCTTCGTGTCAGTCAATGTTGCGGGCTTCGTTCAGTTACGGTCTCGGAGGTCCTTTACTCTTTTGCGCTCGGTTTATCTGGCACTGTCCTTAGACCTCCTTTCTCATTGTCTCTTGCTGTGATCATTGACATCATAGAGGTCAATTACAGTTTATAGGCTCACACTTGTTCTTTTAGAGAATTCTTTATTGTGTGCAGTGGAAATGTTTGTTACATGATTGTTATTTTTGTTGTTGTTTGTTATTATAATAATGCTCATGCTGACATTATTCTTTGTTTCACAATGGAGGAAGGGTAACTGTTTTGGGGAATTGGGAAAAGGTTGGCTTCATTCTCATTGCATACCAAATACTGCTAAATGTAGTTCAGAATTCTTTATGAGTCATGAGTGATCTACTTCTTTTTGGTTTGTGTCCTCCCAACAATTCATGATGATTTAATTGATGTTATTCTCTGCCTCCTATCTTCCATTCATAGAATAGAGCTTCACAAAACTATTTACAATTGTAATGAGATTTGCTTTGCTCAAGAATGTTGGTTTAAAAAACAGCACCCCTGTCACGCCTCAATTTTACTCTGTCTTTGATAGAATTTGGACTCACCTTATTATAATGTTAGCTGGACCTAAAGATTTTGTTGATAGTGATCGGTTCTCTGTCTCAGTCACAAAAAATAGAGAGATTGGAAAAGAGTTTGAGTCAACTGAAAGGCTTCTCTAATAATCCACATGAATCATCAGTCCCCTAACGTTAGCTAGGTAGCATTGTCCTTTGCATGCTCCTGTCTGTCCTGGTAAAATTGTCTGCTCTCCCGTTTGTCTGTGAATGTAATGAGTCTGAGGTACGGTAAGTGTATTGTATGTGTGTGTGTACTACTATGTGACAAATAGTCACGGACATCAACCTCCACGTCCATCCATCACGCTGCGGAGCCGTGAGCCAAATTGGCGCTTTACTCAAAACACCTTGACCTCAGGACCTCTCCAGGGACGGGGCCAAGAGCAGCTCTTCATCTGCTTGCCCCTGTGGGCGGGAAAATATTTCCAACATAACATGTATGGTGATGAATGATTGCCCTTTCCTCAACACTAATGCTTGTTGGTTTCCGTCATTGTAGGCTCTGCTCTGTTCCTGTTCTATAAAAGCTGATGTTTGGGACTTTCGCTACTTTTAAATCATCAGCTGGTGGGGATCTTTTGTTTGCAATTCAGCTCCAGTAGTAAGTGAAATAAATTGAAATTGCAATGCAAGAGAAATTTTGTTTTTTCTTCAGATTTGTATTATTTTGATGCCAAAATTCCTTTGTTTTTATTTGAAAGTTGGGGAGGAGTACTTTGTATCGTAAGGTAGTAGGCCAAAGCCTACAAAACGATGTTCTCTTTTTTTTCAATAGAGTTGATTTTAATTGTATGGCGATTTGAATTAACTGAAATTTACTTTGGTTTTATTTTCTGTGAGGAATAGGGTACCGGTATCTACTACAGACTAGTAAAGTTGTTCTTTAGTTTTCTACAATTCTTGTTTGTGTACGGACCATGGTGTTTCTGTTGTTGTCTCAATAGCCTGTTTAATTTTAATGTTAACCATAAGCTGGGCAGGCACTTGAATGTGAAATGCTCTTGGCCCCAGGTATGTATCAGCCTATGCCTAATGTGCATTGTGCTGCTATATTCCACTGTCATTTTTTGTCATACTCCAGCTTGTTCTCACAGGGGTTAGGGGAAAAGTTAAAGAGGGACCACACTCGTGAATCTCGTAGTTCAGTCGCCCACCACTGCTTTGCAACATTTTTTCAGTAATAAGTAATCTTCTGTTTGCCCTATGACATATATTTAATTTATTCTTGGGTCTTGGATTACCACCGTTTTTCTCTTCTTTTTTTCTTTGATTGGTTGGAAAAAAAAGGGGGAGAGGGGGGTCCATTTGGTAATTTAATAGTAGACAGGTCACAGATCGGTGTCTGCTTCAGAACACCAGGCCTGTTTTTTACTGTTCTTCTAATTCAAGCTTCAAGTTAGCTCTAGTTGTTGCCCCGCCTGACCGCGCTCTTTGTAGTTTGCAGGCCTTCTGGGGAAGGGGGACACTTGACTTATGTTTTGACCTTGAACTTTGAAATTGTCACTGATAAAAATAAAGTCCAGGGAATAAAAACTTCATTATACTGACAATTGACAGCCTATTATTTTCTTGAAATTGTGCAATAGTAGGCTACATTTTGCAAGACATGGCCAGGCCATGATGATGTTCTCCCATTCATTGTCTTCTGTGGCTGTAACTGTAACTTATAGTTCTGCAGTGACCGAGGACTCGTTGAACTGTATTGGTAGTAATGGTAGTGGTAGCCTCTATCTATTTGATTCATTGAATGATAGAAGAAGAAAATACCGTATCGAGATTCCTGGTGATGCCCAGGCTCTAGGACTAGGGAGTAGGAGGAGCAGATCCATCTGTTTCAGTTTCAGAATTTGAGCGTGACGGGCACTTGGGGTGTAGCTGGCTGTAGGTGTAGGTCTCTCCCCTCCACTTCCGTCTTTTAAAAAATGTTAAAATTGGTTTACACGCAGTAGGCCTACTGTATCATGACTGTCCTTTGTTGTTTTGTCTTTGGGAGGGGGTGAAGGAAGGTGTGTTAACTTCTTCATTGTTCTTTTACTTTTTTAAAAATTTCTTCTTTCCTCGCCCGCTGTCGTGGAGCTAAAGTTAGTTCTGAATACCTGATAGTAGTGATAGATCGGTGGTTTTAGTTTCACTACTTCAGTTCTTTCAGAACATTCATCAACAATGAAATGAACAGTTTTATTTTTATAATTTAGAGCTATACCGCTGTGGGTTTTATTGTTAGATCTAGGCATTATAATCTGTTGTAGATCTCACTGTACCGCAGGCTACTATGATTTTGATGTAGATCCCCGGTACTTCAGCTTGACTTCTAGCCTAGGTTCCGTCATGTGAAGAAGTGGCATTACTTTTATTATAATAAAATTCGAATGTTAGTGGTGATAGTGATAGTACCGGTACCGAGATCAATATCAGTGATAGATCTAGTACGTAATTTAATCACATCATCACCACAGACCGAAGACCATAGACTTATTTGTTATTAAGAGTCTGTACCGTGCTGGTAGCATCGAGCGGCGGCAGACCGTCCGGCTGGCTGGACCCAGGACACTGCGTTCTGCCGACAAACAAAAAAAAAATTCAATTTTTGTCATGAATGATAACAATCTACAACAACAATGTAAGTTACGTCCTGTTGTAAAAGTAAAAGAAATAAGATTCTGAATCAGTGTATCAAAATAAGTAGTTTTGGGCCTTGGTGGACACACACGCGACACGCGGCCTTACTTTGCACGTGTCATTTTTATTCGCGGTTATTTCCCTTTCAAATCGCACCACCCCGCGGGTGATTGGTGGAGGGCGCCACTTTGTAGGCCTACAATGATACACATCATATCTCTCTAGACTACTATCGTAGAAGGTCCTTCTTCTTTACTCTCTGACTTTGTCTTTGTTGTTTAGATACACGGTCTTATTTTTTTAGCATGTCGGTGGTTGGAGTTGGAGGGCATTATTTAGTTTACCGGTACGGTATTGGCAGGTCCTAGCCTACTTTCTTTACTTTCCCTCAGTTTTTACTGTTTGTCCTCCTTACTTTTTAAAAACTATTTTTTTCCTCAATACTAAACTAAATCGCAAAAATGACCATTTTTGTCTCGATGTGCTTCTCTTTACTCAACAATTTTTTTTTTTGCAGCACCAAAAATGGTCAATTTATTTTAATGTTGTGTTGATGTGCTTCTCTTCTTCTAAACTCAAAGTCAAACAAGCATGAAACCTCTCCGGACAAACTAGATTCTAGACACTTACACCCATGACAAGCTTTGACTTTGAGGGTAAGTTGTCACTGGTAGCCTACTTGTGATAGGCTACAACAACTGATATAATTTTATTTTTATTGGGTGCCCATTGCGGATCAGATCGGTTCGATTATTTTTAAAATGAATGGTGGTTTTTTCAGTTTACACTTCGAAGACCCATCCCTTGCTTGTTGATGTTGTGTCAAATTTGACAAGAAGAATAGAATAGAAAACTGGGGGGGGGTTGTTAATGATATCTTGGCGTTTACAACACAGCCATGAGGCCTTCTATTTTAAATAAAATTATTAAAATCTGATCTAGAGATCAGATGGTTTTCTTCCTTCTTGGATAGAAGAAGTAGAAGGCTTCACCGTTCATGTGCCGGCTGCCGCATCTCGGTTGAGAGGTTCTTGAATACTTGTCTTGGGGGAAAGCTTTCAAGATTTTTCGCAATTCAGCTAGTCAAAGTCTACACTGTCCAATACCCAACTGCCATTACATGTATCTGATTGAAATTTTTATCTGAACAAAAAAGGGGGTGAAGGAAGGCGAATCCACTCTTGTCGTTTCATGTCCCTTCCCCTTCTTCTTCTTTTCCTCACATTTTTTGAGGAGGCCAAAGGGGTGTAGATCTACCGGTAACCGGAAAGGACGACCCACTGTTTGTAAGCTACCGCCATCGTGGCTCAATTCGAGCGAATTCGATCGTGACCTTAACCCCCCCAAGGTCGCGAGTCGAACTCGAACGATTGGATGTGCGCCCGGAAAGATGGAATGCGGTAATGGACAGTCACAGTCACAGTGTAGATTTGGAGAAGCTGATACTGACTGACTGATACTGGTGGTCGGCCTAACAACATAGTTCGTACAAGAAAGTTATCGACATTTCCTCAGTTGTTTTTTTGTGTAGGTGTAGGGTTCAATGACCTCTCAACACGGCAACCGCAAATGTGGCAATCGGCTCTTGATGAAGTGATTGTGGGAGGGAATTTAAATGGCAGTGTTGTGTGAATCGTGAAGGGTAACTTTTACCCTTTGTGTTTGTTTAGTTAAATTTTATTTACGGCGCACCGGTTACTACAGTTTTATGTTGTCGGGTTTGACTCAAAACTCAAAACAGGGAGGAGACTATAGTGCGTTGAACCGCCATTAGTCGACCCGACCCGATTCGATCCGAATGGGCACCCGGTAGGCCTACATGTATTAATTTTATTTTTATTGAATTTCTCGCGCACGCTGTCGGCCTACACGCATGATCCGATGTTCGAGTGGCAAGTCGCGACCTTCAAAAAACAAACGCGTTTGTTTTTGAAGATCGGATCACGATCGAATTTGGTCGAATTGCGCCACAATGGTAGCTTTAATTTGCTCTTCCGTGGAGTGGAGGAAAATGTATGGCTGGTCACGACTCAATTCTTATTGGCAGTGAGCGCTCGGAACAGTATAGATCTAGTTCAGTATAATTAGTTTACTTTTCAAAAAAGAATTAATTGTAGTTAGTGTCCTCGGTGTCCGTGTCATCTCTGCCTCGAGGTTGAAATTTAATGATCTCTCTGAACATGATAAAACCCACCTCGGTTCTTGTCAGTTGCTCTGGTGCAATTGCAATGTTCCGATTGTTCCCTTCCAACGATGGTGCTGTCCATGTTTATAATCAGTATCAGATTTCTTTGTTGTTGCTTTTTTCTCTTGTTTGTCCATCTGCTGGTTTTGCCCATTCTTCAACAATAGTATATTGTCAATAGAATAGATCTAACACAGCACCCTTTTTAAAATTAAAGTTAAAGATCTTTGCCTGGATAGTCTTTGCTTTTGATCCAACATTTAAACAAAAGTAGGCCTACTGTACCCGAAAATGTTTTTAAAGTCTAGCCCATGTGACAGTAGCAATTCAATTTTAACATTTTAACAACAGACGGTGTCTTGATGATTTAGTGAGATCTGGCAAGATGCACCTTTACTAACTACATGATGTAGGCCTACTTGCTCAAAAGTACGGTACCTGTACAAGACTTGGATGTTTCTGTGTCTGCCCCCCCCTGCAATTCTCTTTGAAAAATAAGATCTCTACATTCTGGGTTGCTTCTCCCCATCTTGAGCATTGTAGAGTCCTTGAACTTGAGCTGAGTGTGTGTAGGCCTGCTTGTTAAAAAGTTTGTTTTATTTTTTTCGCCATTTCTGCTATTTTGCCGCGGAATTTTAAAGTACCGTATCACGCCGTCTTTGTCTCCCTGTCATGTCCAGGCCTGTACTGCTTCTGTGGTTCTTTACTTCATAATTTTTTTATACTTTGCATTTGATTAAAATCTAGATCTTTTTATTTGCCTGCAGCCAAGATGATAAATAATTGTTGTTTGAAATTGTTGGTGTTTCTGCCCCTGCCCTAAGACTAAGATAACGCCTTCTACTTCTAGGTCTTGCTACGGTCTAAACTCTAGAGTGACTTAGTAGGCCTATTCTAGACCTTTTTTCACTGATACAAATTTATTGTTACCGGTTCCGAGTTCTATTCTGTGGTAACAAAACACACATCCTTGTCTTACTCCTCTACACTGACTGTTTGCATTACATTCAGAGAGTGATTTTCTGTCTTCCTTTTATCCTAACTCTGATTGATGAGTGATTGCTGCTCTTTGTTGCATGCCAAATAAATCAGCCTCTACTTACTATCATCACTGACGTCCTTTCTTCTTACGGTCAAGAAAATTGCACCCAATTTGATATGGTGGACTCAATGACAAACACACTTTCTTGTAATTTATAATTTCAATTCCAACTTGCACTCTTATTATCGTGTTCTGAAACGTAAAGAACATTGAACACACGAGTGCTGTACTGTTCAGAATCACCCGCGCCATGTGCGGTGCAGAAATGGAAATAACCTCAGACTGATAGTGATAGTGAACAATTACGAGTCAACCTGGGATTATTTGTTTTTTAAAAATTAGTAGGAGAAACTTCATCCCAAAAGACTCGACACAATAAAAACTATTTTATAGTAAATAGTAGTAGAACAACTATAAACTGTCAGAAAATACCGAGTTGAAAAAGATGTTCTTCTCTCTTAGCCTCAGAAACAATCGGCTTTTCCTGTCGTCATGACTGGTTTGATGAAAACAAAAGGAGATCCAGAACCTTATTCAAGAGAAGAAAAGGCTAATAGTGATCTAGTGAAACTTTTCGTGTAATTAAGTTAATATATATATATTTATTACTAGCGGTATGGGGTTTACTGTAATTTTAAAATAAAATAACAAAAAACGTTATACATGTAGTATGTAGCCTACATGTATACAAG